GTCGCGTCGCGTCGCGTCGCGTGGCGTCGCGTGGCGTCGCGTGGCGTTGCGTCGCGTCGCGTCGCGTCGCGTCGCGTCGCGTCGCGTTGCGTTGCGTTGCGTTGCGTTGCGGTGCGGTGCGGTGCGGTGCGTGCGTGCGTGCGTGTGTGTGTGTGTGTGTGCGTGTATGTACCTACCGATGTATGTATGCATGCATGTATGTATGTATGTATGTAGCTGTACATGTACAAACGAAAAGGCTAGTAGAGACAACGATTTAGACTTGTCTGCATCGACAAATGCGAAAGATTCGCTCAATGCCAGCCGTCTGAAAACAAAGCCTTCTGCCCTGCAAAGCTTGCAATCATCACAAGTACATGTACATATATATATATATGTATATTGTATATATATATATATATATAAATAAATATATATATATATATTTGTTTATTTATTTGTTTATTTATTTATTTGTTCAAGGCTGTCCCCAGATCTTCATATACATAGAAACGCACTTTGTAATGTCCACTTTATGCACTGCCACGTCTTCCGTCTACTTTGTCGAGCAATCAAACATCCCATCCGCCGGCCTTTTTGTACCAAAAGTCTGCTTCCGTTTGGTTCTGGATCACCCCACGGCCTGCGGAATGGCTGCATGTAGTCTTTACTTGAAGGTTCGTGGGTACTTATAAGTAGGAATTCGTTGCCCTAATTCTCACCCCACTTACAAGTACCCATGAACCTCCAAGTAAAGGTTCGGAAAGATTTTAGCACCCAGACCATCCGAACTACTCCCAGTATGCAAGACACTAACACATGTTTGGAGCATTGTTCTTCTTGGTAGCCCAGTATCCATGTTATAATAAGGGCACCCCATTGGGCTACCAAGTCCTCTTAGCTTTAGGGGCTACTATTGGAGAGGAGGTCGGGGTGTTCAGGGTTGGCCGGAAGTGGTGGCAGACCCAGCTAGGGTTTACTTGGCGGTTCATTTGGGTGCTTTCAAGTGGGTTCTAGGTACCCTACATAAGGATCCCTACTTTTTCGTACCCAACAACCTCTGAGTAGGATTCAGGGATTAGGGCTTTTCGGGCACTTATACGTACCCATAAACCTCTGAGTAGGATGCAGGGATTAGGGTGCTTCAGTGCACTTTACGTACTTCTCTGGCCTGATTCCAGAACCACGGCCAGCTCATACTGCGCCTGGCCTTGACACCACAAACTCTTGGTGGCGGGTTCAGGGTTTAGGGTTTAGGGATGTAGGTAAGTAGGGTTTAAGGGTTTAGGGGTTTCGGGGTTTTCAAGACATGTCGCTTCTTGAGGGACAGTATACCACATCCGGCACCTGCGCCAATCAGCGCCCGAGAGAAAAACAGATTCCGTTACCAAGATCAAAGACCCCTAACCCTAAACCCTGAACCCTAAACCCTAAACCCTAAACCCTAAACCCTGAACCCAAAAACCGGCACTCACATAACACCCTGAGCCTCGAGCCTGCACCCTACTAAGTCCTAAACCCCTAAACCCCTAAACCCCTGAACTCCTAAACCCCTGAACCCCTAAACCCCTGAACTCCTAAACCCCTAAATCCCTCAACCCCTCAACCCCTGCAACCCTGAACCCCTACACCCTAACCCTAGACCCTAAACCCCCCCCAAACAAAAGTCCACTAAGGCCGCCACTGTGGTTTAGCAACGCTGCTTGCCGCAGCCACGACGCAGACTCCTGGCCACTACACAAGCCCTGCTGGCCCAGTAACCAGGTTACATTAAGGGGTACCCTTTTTGGGGTTGGCTACTTTAAAAGGGAACCTTGAACCAAAAAAAGGCGAAAGGGTACCACTGGGCTAGCAAGACCCCTGAACGCTAAACCCTAAACCCTAAACCCTAAACCCTAAACCCTAAACCCTAAACCCCAAACCCTAAACCCTAAACCCTAAACCCAACCCTGAACCCTGAACCCTAAACCCTAAACCCTAACCCTAAAGCTTAAGGGCTGAGCAGTTTCAGGTCAAGGGCTGCCAAACTTGGGGCTCGACAGGCCCTCGAGGTTTAGGGTTTAGGGCTAGGGTTTAGGGTTTAGGGTTTAGGGCTAGGGTTTAGGGTTTGTCGCTTGGGGTTTGGGGTTCAGGGTTTTGGGTGTAACCAGGGACTGAGAGAGAAAGAGAGAAAGAGAGAACTATACACAGAAACATAAACCCTTTTGCGGATGTGTGGTCATAGGGTCTAGGCTTAGGGTTTAGGGGGTTTAGGGCTTAGGGCTTAGGGCTTAGGGTTTAGGGTTTAGGGTTTTGGGGTTTAGGGCTCTAAAGGGAGGGGGGGTTCAATGGGGTATGTCTGCGGCCCAAGGTTGCCTAGTACTCCCCAGTACTCCCTAAGGCTCCCCAAGCTTCCCTAAGGTTCCCAAGGTACCGAACTCCCTTGAAGCCCCCCTCCCTTAAGAACCCTAAACCCTAAACCCTAAACCCTAAACCCTAAACCCTAAACCCTAAACCCTAAACCCTAAACCCTAAACCCTAAACCCTAAACCCTAAACCCTAAACCCTAAACCTATACGCGGGGCTCTAGATGAGATGCGATGGCTGCCGTTGCGCCTCCTCGTTCACGGCCATGCCCCTGCCCTGCCTACAGAGCTTGCCTGGGCCGACGGGAGCCGTAAACCCTAAACCCTAGACCCTAAACCTTAAACCCTAAACCCTAAACCCTAAACCCTAGACCCTAAACCCTAAACCCTAGACCCTAGACCGCAAGAGTGACATGATCCAGATTGGGCTTCCCCTTGAGATTGCATGTTGCTGCCGACGGCCAACCCGCAGCACAGCGGAACTTGCCCCTTCCATCAGCTTCCTCTACCCATAAAATGCTTAAGGGGTATACCCCTAAACCCTAAACCATAAACCCAAAACCCTAAACCCTAAATAAGGAGGGATCCCTAGACGGGAACCTTAATCTTATTCCCCTGTATAACCCTAAAATGTACCTTAAATGTTCCCTACGTACCTAAGTTGCCCCTAGATAGCCCCCTGCATCACCCCCAACCAGGGTTTAGGGTTTAGGGTTTAGGGTTTCGGGTTTAGGGTGTTTAGCTACATCTACCTTAATTGTCGGGTATACTTACCCATGCAAGGCTACGCTAGGTAGGCCCCAAACTCTCTCGGATCTTTGGAAGCCTGGAAGCGAAAGCTTTCCGGTTTAGGGTTTATAGGTTTAGGGTTTATGCATGCAGTCATCAGACACTTCGGACGAAAGTTCGGGCGAAGCATATATCTGCAATTAGCAGAGAGCACTCGAAAAGATCACATCTAGGCCTGCCGCTGTCGGCGTTTGTTGGCCTGATAATACCTATTCCAAATAACTTGCGGGTTTAGTGTTTAGGGTTTAGGGTTTAGGGTTGGGAGAAAACAACGGCTGCTCGCCAAGACTCTCATCATGAACTGTCCTGGCCACTGCACCGCTGAGGGCTCTTGGGCTCAGGGCTTTTAGGGTTTAGGGTTTAGGGTTTCGGGTTTGGGGTTTAGGGTTTAGGGTTTGGCTTTGCCGAAAGCTTTGCACACTGCTCTCATGCGCTAGCTACCATGCAAGGGCGAAAGTTGGATTTCCTCTCTTCAGGGTCCCGGAACTTGGCCGCACTCAGGAGGGTAGCTACAAATTAAACTTTTAGCTGCCGTACTAAGAAACCCGATAAACCCAAAAGAGGTAAGGATCTAAAGTCACAGTAAAGTACCACAAAAGGAATTTAAGGGGCTCTATGACACACCTATACCTCCCACAAGAACCGGTGCCCAGCCATGGCCTTCTCTGCTACCTCCTTCGGCAGCTCGACCTCGGTGTGGCATAACCCTATGCCCGAACCTTCAACCCGAACACTCAAACGCAAAGGCACCCACAATCATCGCCAACTCGTACTTTAAGTGGCAACCGGGCTTCTGAGGGTAGCCAGGGACACCAGAAAAAGAAACTGGGGCTTCCCGAAGATAGGGGGGTTAGGGTTGAAGGGCTCTTAGGTGCCCTTTAAAGGTTCCTATTTTTAGCACTACACTAGATAGCAACGTGATCCCCTATATTTGAACCCTAAAACATGCAACCTGTCCTGCACACTCGAAGAAAACGATCTTTGAAAAATCCTACACCCGGAGCCCTGAACCCTGAACCCTAAACCCTAAACCCCACACACTAACCCTAAACCGCGCTGTTCGGAAGAGGGTTGCTCTGAGGGTAGCGCGGAACCACTTGGCCGCCTCGCCCTCCGATGGCGTCACGCCATCGCCGACCTTGGGAAACGTTGGCTCAGGGGGTGGGGTTTAGGGTTTTGTTGAACATCACTTCTTCGATTCTGTGCAGTGTCATCTTGCGCAGGGGATGCCATGCTGATCTTCTCTAGACCCTGGACTTAAAACCCCAAAGAACACTACACAAACTCCAAACTTCCCTCCTCAATGGGGTACCAACGGGGCCTAAGGGCCTAGGGTCTAAGGGAAACCGAAAACCGGAGTGAAAGCCGGAACCCAACCCCCAAACCCAACCACCCCTCACCTCCCCCAAGAGGAACCCAAACCTCACAGGCCTGCGGTACACCTCTCGATTTGTGCACCTCATCGCTTGAGCCACGGTTGGCCGGAGTTCTGCAATTCACAACGATCGCACTTCGACCTGGGCTTAAGCTGTTCACATGGAGCTGCTTCTCCACTTCAGCACTCCTCCTCACTTTTGAACCTTTGGTTCCAAGGTGCCACGCACCAGCAGCTCCCATTCAACGTGCTCTGCACAATCAAACGAGTTAGCCGCCTCTACTTCACACGCGAACGGAGAATTCTCAAAAGAACTTCTGCAAACTGCGAAGATTAGCCCTCCAGGCTAAAAGGTATCTGCTTGCCGAAAAGCTCTGCTGGTTCCCGGCGTACGATCAAAGAGTGATTCTCCCCCATTGTCACGACCGCATCGGCACAGCATTCTCTGATTGACTCTCGACGCGTTCCTGAGACCCCAACAAGTCCTCGAGGTATAAAGCGCATCGCCATGTTCAGTCAGGAAATATGGACCATCATGTAGAACCTGCTATATCTGGATCTCAATCTGCCTTGGTGGAAGATCACATGGTCTGATCGCAGGGGTGGCAAGTGTCTGCTTGTCCACCATGTTTGGCCTATTTTCCGGCGCCAATGTTGATGATGAAGCTTGCTCTTCTGACTGCTGGATCCGACTCAACCTAGTCAGAAACGGTAGTTCTTCTTCAACTTCAGCTCCTTCCTTCCATGTGCGAAGCTCCTCCTCAACTGCTCTAGCAGCCTTTCGTCGAAGCCTTTCTACTCCTGAGTGCCACCAGATGTTCCACTGCACATTCCAGCGTACTGAGGACCATGGGTTTCACCTTCGAGCGAAGTTTCAGCAGAACCAGCGTCAACTTGGGCGGCCATAACCTGTTGAACATAACTTCTTCGATTCTGTGCAGTGTCATCTTGCGCAGGGGATGCCATGCTGATCTTCTCTAGACCCTGGACTTAAAACCCCAAAGAACACTACACAAGCTCCAAACTTCCCTCCTCAATGGGGTACCAACGGGGCCTAAGGGCCTAGGGTCTAAGGGAAACCGAAAACCGGAGTGAAAGCCGGAAACCAACCCCCAAACCCAACCACCCCTCACCTCCCCCAAGAGGAACCCAAACCTCACAGGCCTGCGGTACACCTCTCGATTTGTGCACCTCATCGCTTGAGCCACGGTTGGCCGGAGTTCTGCAATTCACAACGATCGCACTTCGACCTGGGCTCAAGCTGTTCACATGGAGCTGCTTCTCCACTTCAGCACTCCTCCTCACTTTTGAACCTTTGGTTCCAAGGTGCCACGCACCAGCAGCTCCCATTCAACGTGCTCTGCACAATCAAACGAGTTAGCCGCCTCTACTTCACACGCGAACGGAGAATTCTCAAAAGAACTTCTCCAAACTGCGAAGATTAGCCCTCCAGGCTAAAAGGTATCTGCTTGCCGAAAAGCTCTGCTGGTTCCCGGCGTACGATCAAAGAGTGATTCTCCCCCATTGTCACGACCGCATCGGCACAGCATTCTCTGATTGACTCTCGACGCGTTCCTGAGACCCCAACAAGTCCTCGAGGTATAAAGCGCATCGCCATGTTCAGTCAGGAAATATGGACCATCATGTAGAACCTGCTATATCTGGATCTCAATCTGCCTTGGTGGAAGATCACATGGTCTGATCGCAGGGGTGGCTTGTGTCTGCTTGTCCACCATGTTTGGCCTATTTTCCGGTGCCAATGTTGATGATGAAGCTTGCTCTTCTGACTGCTGGATCCGACTCAACCTAGTCAGAAACGGTAGTTCTTCTTCAACTTCAGCTCCTTCCTTCCATGTGCGAAGCTCCTCCTCAACTGCTCTAGCAGCCTTTCGTCGAAGCCTTTCTACTCCTGAGTGCCACCAGATGTTCCACTGCACATTCCAGCGTACTGAGGACCATGGGTTTCACCTTCGAGCGAAGTTCCAGCAGAACCAGCGTCAACTTGGGCGGTCATAACCTGTTGAACATCACTTCCTCGATTCTGTGCAGCGTCATCTTGCGCAGGGGATGCCATGCCGATCTTCTCTAGACCCTGGACTTAAAACCCCAAAGAACACTACACAAAACTCCAAACTTCCCTCCTCAATGGGGTACCAACGGGGCCTAAGGGCCTAGGGTCTAAGGGAAACCGAAAACCGGAGTGAAAGCCGGAAACCCACCCCCAAACCCAACCACCCCTCACCTCCCCCAAGAGGAACCCAAACCTCACAGGCCTGCGGTACACTTCTCGATTTGTGCACCTCATCGCTTGAGCCACGGTTGGCCGGAGTTCTGCAATTCACAACGATCGCACTTCGACCTGGGCTTAAGCTGTTCACATGGAGCTGCTTCTCCACTTCAGCAGGTGTATTTGCCACCCGTCTAGCCATGCTCCACGGGGTTTGGGGTTTAGGGCTTATGGGGTGATAAAGGGTATAGGGTTTAGGGTATGATAGGGTTTCAGGGTTTCAGGGCTTGGGGCTTAGGTGTACTCAGGCGACACTTTAGAGAGGGACATCCTTCGAAAGTCAAACACTTTAGACGGGCCCCTCCTTAAGGGGCGGGAGGTTGATGGGGGGGTAGGACTTGCAGCCTTGTGATCCGGGGGCAATGCTTTGATATGGGGGGTTTCCGAAATTAGGGGTACCTTCTTGTCGTCCTTATTATTAAGGGAATCCTGCTTTTTTGGGGGTTCCATATTAGGGTCCCCTACTTTTTCGAAAACCCCCATCTAGGCTGCCCAGTAACCTAGGCTTAAAAAGAGTACCCTTCTTTACTTAAAGGGGTTTATAAGGGAACCTAAACCCCCCAAAAAGGGAATAAGGGTACTACTGGGCATCCTAGCCATAAGGCGGAAGCCATATTCCGAAGCCGGGTGCTGCAAAGCGAACACCGAAGCAAGCCGAGGTGCGTAGTAAGCATAGGCCAAGTTGTACTGTGCCTCGGGAGGCAAAAAGGAGCTCAGCATCCTGCACGGTTTAGGGTTGAGGGTTTAGGGTTTAGGGTTTAGGGACTCTGTGTGCTCTGGAAAAAAGGGGGTACCTTGACTCCAACACGCTTCTCACATCTCAATTCAAACCCACCGATATGTGAACGCGACCCTAAACCCGAAATTCTCCATCAGGATCTACAGGGTTCTAGGGTTCGTGCACGAGTTTCACTTCAGCGTTGTGTTATGTACCCTTTTATCTGTTTTTTTTTTTTTTGGGGGGGGGGGTTGAGGGACAAGGGGGGTGACCAAGCGCATACTTTCATTGTCCAAAATGCATCAGCTGAGCCCTGAACCTCATTTATTGGACTTAGGCTCGAGCGGCAGGATGCTAGAAACATCCCGTTTTTTTTTCCTCTAACCCTGAACAAGCCTGAACCCTAACCCTAAAACCTAAACCCTAAGTCCTCCCGTGGGTCATTTCTTACTCTCTGTGCCCTCGAGGGTTGGAACGAAATGGCCGTCCACTGCTTCTGAGGGCCGACCACTGCGCATGAGGGCGGCACTTTCTTACTCTTCAAGGGCGAGTGGAAAGGCAGAAGGTGCATCCCAAGGGCCTCCTTGTAAAAAAAAGGCGCTTGGGGTTTAGGGTTTAGGGTTTAGGGGTTAGGGTTTAGGGTTTAGGGTTTATTGCACCTCGGGCCATTTGGGCGGCCGTATAAAGCCCTAATCAACCATGTTTGCATCCGGACTCCTGCGGGTGTTGCCAGAAACTGCCCAAGCACAGGCTTCCAGTACCCTAAGCCTTAGACAACATGTCCCTCTTCTTAGGGGTTCCAGGTGTCAGAAACGGAGCCTCCTTCACGGTACCCCAAGAGGGACCATTACTTTAAGCAAAAAGGCAAAGGGCACAGAGCCCGATGACCTCGAAGTGCGGGAGAGGGGATGTTCCGAATCTGAATCACATTTTTGGTGTTTAGGGTTATAGGGTTTATAGGGTTGTTTTTACACCTGCGAACCCAACACGCCCACACCCACATCCACCCACCGACACGCTCTGCGCACCTGCGCACCTGCGCAGCGAGGGAAGGGGCAGAGACAGAACTCAACTCCCCAGGCACCCTTTGCTGATCATCCTTAAACCCTAAACCCTAAACCCTAAACCCTAAACCCTAAACCCCAAACCCTAAACCCTAATCCCAACAAGCTGCCAGGACGTGCCCCTTGTCGGCCGCGCGGGTATACCAGACTATAGCCTTGCACGGAAGCTTAGGTTTTTTTGGAATGTAGTTCAGGGTCTCAATCTAAACTATGCAAGGGTTTAGGTTTAGGGTTTAGGGTTCAGGGTTATAATGATAGAAAAGTATAAGAGCCGGTTAAATGACTCATAGAGCAATATAATAACATCATAGACGAAGAGTAATACACTAATAACTGGTACTCGAGACTGTCAGAAAAATCATATAGCCCAAGGAGAGTGAGGCCCACAAACCTCAAGGGAACCTAACCCCTTAACAAAAGGAACACAGGGTTTAGGGTTTAGGGGCCCACTCTGGGCCTTAAACGCTATAAACCCCTACACCCTAAACCCTAAACCTTAAACCCTAAACCCTAAACCCAAAACCTCAATTGGAGCAACCTTCACAGTGCCCAAAACCTGATAGAAGTCTGCAGCTGTCTTATAACTCATGGGCTTTGGGGGCTTCCTTGGAGCTTACATGAGTACTTCTACGTAGTGTTCGAAGTACGGTAGCTATATGCTTATAACATTACTTAGGGTCCTTCTATCCCTACGAATTCACCTTCAAGTAGGGCCCCCAAATGGGCTGCCCAATCTCTCAAACCCGCCTCCGAAACATTCCGAGGACTGCCCTCACCGCGCGCCAGGGCTACGGCAAGGTTGAACATGGCCTGCTGCAACAGATCTTCCAAAACCCCCTATAGTTAAGGAATATACACTATTAACTACTAAGGGTCCTTATTATGAATTAAGGCATACTCCTTAATTAAGGAATACACCCTAATATATACTAAGGGTGCTTATTATGAATTAATTAGGGTATGTTCCTTAATTAAGTGGGATTTGGGAAGATCTGGGTGCAGCAGAGCCTTGCTTGACGGAGCGGTTTTAGGCTTGGGGCTCGGGACTTTGACAGGCAGCCTTCTGCAAAGTCCAAGCGCCGACCTTCAACGGTCCTTGATCAAAATACATTGGGATGTTCCTCTTATACTAACAGTCCTTAATAGGCATTGTAGTACCCCTATCATAATCCCCATTAAGGAATTTTAGTAGAAGGGGGAACATACCAGAAAACACATGTTCCCAGAAATCTCTTTATGTTTCCAGGTCCCAGCTCTAACTCATATACCAAGCAGGACCTTGATCGACTTTAGATCAGCTCCCACATAGGTGTGAGAAATCCCAGGAACCCCTCCAGAGCGTCTTGTTCTTCTGGTAGACTGTTGTGCGGTTTAAGGCGTAGGGTTTTTCGCTCCCGCAGGTTTAGGGTTTAGGGTAAGGGCCGCTCCCAGCTATGATTTTTGACAGTGGACTGGGAGCGGAAAATTGCGGCAATGTCAACCAGCCGGCTACTCGAGACCGCTTAATTAGGGGTCTTCAAACTTCACCCCGGACAAAACCCGAACCCTAAACCCTTTTGAACCCGGTCTGAGAGCCATGCCGGTAAACCCTAAACCCTAAACCCTAAACCCTAAACCCTAAACCCTAAACCCTAAACCCTAAACCCTAAACCCTAAACCCTAAACCCTAAACCCTAAACCTTCAGGAGGAAAAGGATTCGCGAGCCGAAGCTACGAAGCGCCATATGACAAGGTCCTGGGAAGCTTAGGGTGTGGTCGTGCAAGTCTATATCAACCCGTGCAAACGCTCAATGTTTTGGCGGGATCTTTAGAAAGGGCCTAATTACTACGGGGGCCCTGAAGCAACTGCACAGGAACCCCTTTAAGGTCCAAGTATCTACTATACAAGCTTGAACCCTTGTGGCAGCCGGACAGATAGCGCTAAACACACACACACACACATTTATGTGCACATGTAAAACACAGGAATGTATGTGTGCATACAAGGGCTCGGTCTGGACTCGACTCTTGGAAAAAGTAGGGGGGCGCAGGTGACGTGCCCACCTTGGCGTGGCCAAGCTCAGCTGCTCGGCGCGTCCACGCCATGGCCTGGTCTCGAAGACCCCATCCCTTGCGGACTAAATGAACCCTAAAGGGTTCCGGAGGGGGGGGGGGGCCTAGGGTTCCGGGGAGGGGAGGGGTGGGTTCAGGGTTTAGGGTTTAGGGTGCAAGCAGAAGAACCTTGACTGGAATTCTTCTAGAAGCTTCGGTCTGCCCAAACACCCTCTTGCCGGACCTCTTGCCTCCTATTCCGATGGGACCCCATGGAACCCTAAACCCTAAACCCTAAACCCTAAACCCTAAACCCTAAACCCTAAACCCTAAACCGCAGGCCCTAAACCCTTAAGGTCACATAGTAAACCTTGGCCTGTACGGCGTCGCGAGGAACTCCGTGGCCCTCGCGATATGCAGTAGCCAAGTTGTACCTTGGGGGTGAATATTCCTGGGGGCTCCACTGACCTACCATTTTGGGGGGCTGTGCTCTATATTTAGGGGGGTTATAACCTACTATCTTGTAGGGTTTGGGAGTCGCAGGTTGGGTTTAGGGCTTCGGTACAGCTGGTATTTTAGGGTAGAAAACACGGGACACGTTCGCTAACACTCCAAAGCTCAGGTCAACCCTTGCACCTACTACAAACCCGAAACCCTAAACCCTTTCTGCATTCGGACTGTTGTGGGTGAAGCCCTAAACCCTAAACCCTAAACCCTAAACCCTAAACCCTAAACCCTAAACCCTAAACTTCGACTCCCAGGCTTTCGACCCAGGCACATGGCCTTGTCTGCCTTGGCGAAGCTATTGCTGCCCTGGCTGCCGGCAAGGCCTCGGGTTTAGGGTCTAGGGTTCAGGGTTCAGGGTTTCGGGTTTAGGGTTTGCTGTGATAGGGCGTAGATGCTGTGAAGGTTAGGTTTCGGACCAAGCCCGAAAGCTTCGTGAGGTGCGAAGAGCAGCTTTGGCCCGATTGCGGAGGACCATCTAACACTTTTCTCCCACCCCACACCGTCCAAGGCGGCAAAGCCACCCAAACCTATTCCTTTTAGGGTTTAGGCCTAAACTCAGACAACAGTCCATTTCTAAAAACTTATTCAGTTTCAATTCAGGGGTCGGGAGGCAGTTTTTAGGGAGGGTTGCAGGAGGTGCTAGGGCTGGGCCAAGGGGGTCAGGGGCGGCCAGAAAAACTGATTTTTGAGCACCGACCCCCAGGCTGCGGGAGGCGGGCGAGCGACCTGGGTCGGCTTCCGCCATCGAGCTCGAAGGGCTTAAGCGCCGCCCCCCAATGTGGGGGGGCGGCCTAGGCCCTGAGTTTAGGGTTGAGAGCGAGCTTCCGCGTGTTCCTAAGCTCGGAAGAACTGAGTATTGCCTTAGAATCCCCAGATCCTAAACGGAAGTCACGGCGAGGTTCTGTCTGCGCAATGCAAGACCCTTTTTGTTTTAGGGGCCGCTGGTCTACTCCTGCAACTTGCCCCATGTTTTGCATGACTTGTCGGCCTTGCGAGGTATTGAAACTATCCTGCAAGACGAGGCCGATTCTGCTGTTGATTCTGGCCGCTGGCCGTGACTGAAAGCTCAAGCCCTACTTGGAGGTTCATGGGTACTTATAACCCCACTATAAGTCTACATATCACCTACTTAGAGGACTTAGGGGACTTGGGGGGCTTAGAAGTACAGTTATAGTTAGGGTGAGAAGTACCCTGAACCTCCGAGTACTATGTCGAAACCACGGAAGACTACCCAATTGGGGACAACTGAAGAATTGAGATAGTATGCACCTCCTCCACCACCACCACCCCCGCACCTCCCCACCCTCCCCCCGGTCACATAGCCTATTTTGGGTTTAGGGTTTAGGGTTTAGGGTTGAGGGTTTAGGGTTTTTTGTGGTTCGGCACACTTTCAAAAAACTGCCAGGGCTCTGAACCAGCGTGCGGCTTCGGAGAAGTTTGCTTCCACTCCGTCCTGTTCCATGCATGCGCAGCTCCTAAGCCCTAAGCCCTAAGCCCTAAGCCCTAAGCCCTAAGCCCTCAACCCTCAACCCTAAGCCACCCTAAACCCTCAGCCCTCTTTGTACACCTGGGGGAACACCGGTCTCTTCGCGGCCATCGGCTTGATGGCTGGAGCCAGCCATGTCAATTACAGCTGTTTGCAATATAACCCTTGAAACAAAAAACCTTGGGACGTTCCCCCTTATACTAACAGCTCCTTGAGAGGGATTGTAGTGACCTCCTATGATAATCCCGACTTTAAGGACTGCTAGAAAAAGGGGGAAACACCCCAACAAAAAAGCCGGCCTGTCGTCCATACTTCAAGGTACTTTGGGGGGGTCTATCCCTGAACCCTAAACCCTAAACCCTATAAAGTCCATACTCCAGGGCTGCTTTGGGGAGGGTCCGGGACACCTTCGAGTAGAGGACCACCAGGCCGGAAGAGGGAAGTTACGATTGAGGCATGTCAACAAGTTCCGCAAGCAAGGCCCAGGACAAGGTTTGTGTTTTTGTTTTTCCTTTGGGGGGTGAGGGCTTAGGGTTGGGATGTGACCCCGTATACTCACAGCTCCTTAACAGTGATTCTAGTACCCCCCCTAGTGTAGTCCCTAATAAGGACGGCTAGTAGAAGGGGGGAACATCCCAAGTTTGGGGCTTCGGTGGAGGGGCGACAAAACCAAAAACAACAAAAACGAAACACTGGAGACCCTGAACGCAAACCCATGAAGCCTACCAAAAGTACTTTTTTTGTAGGTTACCTAAGAGCCAAACAAGAAGAGGTTTTTGAGGTTTTAAGTACATCTCACAAAAACTTTTTGTAGGTTGCCTAAGAGCCCCACAAGAATAGACTTTGGAGTATCTCAAACTGCCAGCTCCCATCCCTGCCGGCCCCATTGCTGTAGGCCAGACCTTGGGCAGCGAGATGGCTGAGTTGATGGTTTAGGGTTTAGGGTTTAGGGTTTAGGGTCTAGGGTTGAGGGTGGGATGGCTGGGCTTAGAGCTTAAGGTTTGGATTTCCGGGCTCAAGGTTCAGCAGTCTTTTTTTCTTAGGGGCTAGAAGAGAGGTGTAGGGGTGTCGGGAATCTGGGCCCAAACCCTAAACCCAGAACCCAGAACCCCAAACCCCAAACCCCAAACCCTAAACCCTAAACCCTAAACTCTCATGTCGCCGCCGAGAAGCCCAGGAGGAACTGCGCCGAAGCGGAGCCGGCCGATGCAGCCGCGCGGTACAGGGCCACTGCAGCTGCTGGGTCCGGTGCGCGATGACTGGGAAGCTCAGGCGATTTAGGGTTTAGGGTTTAGGGTTGAGGGTTTAGGGTTCTGGGTTTGGGGTTTGGGGTTTGGGGTTTGGCGTTTAGGGTTTCGAATAGGAGCTTGAGGCTTGAGATGTTCAGGGTGCGATCCATGCGTTTTGTAGGGTTTAGGCCTGGTTTAGGGTTTCGGGTTTAGGGTTTAGGGTTTCGGGTTCTGGCGGGTTAAAAAGGCTTAAGACTTTCTGTAGGGATTGGTGCTGTTGGACTTTCTCTTGGGCAGCTTCCCCAACCTCCAGACAAGCATCTCAAAAGTGAGGGCTTCCGCGCATCTGTATGCCTCTTGCGCAAGAAGTCCTTTGTCCCAATCTGCGATCCAGAGGGCCGGCGGATGGAAGGAGAGGAAAGCATACGTAAGCCAATGTTCCCGAAGAGTCCCTATAGTCCCTAAACCCTCAAACCCAAACCCCATAGGTACCTCCCACCCCTCCTATGTCCAAACCCTAAACCCCAAACCCCAAACCCTAAACCCCAAACCCTAAACCCTAAACCCCAAATCCTAAACCCCAAACCCTAAACCCCAAACCCTAAACCCTAAACCCAATACCCTAAACACCAAATTCCTGAACCCCAAACCGCGGTCATCAACCGCCCAAGCGCCTGCCCCCGTCGTGAAGCAGCGCGCCCAGTCGCAACTGAGCCTGGGATCGGCGATTCTTCGAGCTCTAGGAGCTCAGGGCGCATCAGGCGTTACTTGGGATGGTTTGGGGTTTAGGGTTTAGGGTTTGGGGCTTGGGGTTTGGGGTTTGGGGTTTGGGGTGTAGGGTTCCATATGAGGGGTATTCAATTCCTACTAAGGACTGTTAGGATGAGGGGAAACATCAAAAGGCGCAAGGCCAAAATGATCATTCAAGCGTATACATGATTGTATAGATATAATACGGGGGAAATGTAGAACCCGGAAGATGCCGTTCACGGAGAACGGGATCAACCGATATAATACGATGTGCATATAGTAGAATGTGGATATAGTACGATATGAATATAGGTACAATGCGACAAGGAAGCCGACAAGAGAATCATTTAGGGTTTAGGGTTTAGGGTTTAGGGTTTAGGGTTTAGGGTTTAGGGTCTAGGGTTTAGGGTTTAGGGTTTAGGGTTTAGGGTTTAGGGCAAAGGAGGTTCCATTTGGGGTTTAGGTCTTGGGGGGGGCTTGGGCCCCTAGAAACACATGCACACCTTGGGGTAACAGCCATGAGTGTGGATACTTCAAGGCGGGGCTTCGTGCTGGGCCTCCCTAGACACTCAAGCCCAAATCGACGACTGTCACCCTAAACCCGAAACCCTAAACCCTAAACCCTAAACCCTAAACCCTAAACCCTAAACCCTAAACCCTAAACCCTAAACTGTTTTGTTGAACCCAGACTCCTAAACCCTTCCCAGAGCCCCACAACGCAGATTCAAGAATTTCGCGGTGGTGCTTCGAAGCTTCCGATGCCTGAACCCCAGAACATAGGGGTAAAAGGCCCCGAAACCCCTACACCCTAAACCCCAATGAGTTGAAGTTGTGTCAGGGTTTAGGGCTTAGGGCTTAGGGCTTAGGGTTCAGGGTTTAGGGCAACCCATCCTGAATCCGTTTGAGGGATATTTTTTGTTCTCCACCGGCTTAGCTGACCAAAATCGGACGCACTCATTCTCGGGCTTAGGTTTTAGGGTTTAGGTTTAGGGTTTAGGGTTTAGGGTTTAGGATGAGGATGCTGCAAGGTGTTTGAGGCCAAGGAGGAAGCCAAAGCACGGGGATGTGACCTGACTCGGCTGCTTTCCCATACCAAAGCAGGGCCTGGCACCGGAGGGTCCAATGGAACAAAAAGCCTGAATGGTTCTAAGCGAAGGGCATCTTTTGAAAAGTAATTTCTTTGTAAGCATGTCTTTGAAAGGTGTTATAAGAAAATTGTTCCACTTTGAAAACTGTGGAAAAAAAACAGCTGTTTCCAGGAGGATGCCTTTATGGAAGCTGGTCTTATGATTGACCCCTCGCCCACCATCACCTGAGTCAGCTAACTGCTGGGGTTGGCCAAAGCGGAGGCCGTACACAGGGATCGAAAGAGCATTTAAGGTTGAGCGAGCCCGAAGCCTAAACCCTAAGCCCTTTTGGTCAAACCTGGACCCCCCCTCCCCCCCCCCATCCCCATCCCTGCCGCCCTTCTCATGCCTCTGCGGAAGCCTCCTCCGATCCTCTCTCTGGCCCTCGTCAACGTGTGGGGTTTAGGGTTTAGGGTTTTGGGTTTAGCGTTGCAGGGTTTAAGGTTTAGGGTTTAGGGGGTGTTTCAGGGGAAGCGATGCAGTCGGAAAGTAAAACTCCCCTTTTTCATTCAACTTCATGAAGGAAAGCGATTCTCAGAGTAGGTTACAGTAGGGGTCTGGTGGGATAGCTGTCGTACTTATATGCCTCTCAAGAACAAAAAGGAATAAGGTTCCCGCATGTCCTAGCTACACCCTTTGGGAACCCAGGCCCTAGCTGCACCCTAAACCCTAAACCCTACACCTTCAGCTGCTCATTATGATGACCCTTCTCGGGCAGGCCAAGCTCAATCTTCCTAGGCTGTCCTGGATGGATGCTGGTTAATTCAACACATTGGCCCTTTGCAACCCGCTGAATAATTATTCCTGAACAAGATCCTCTGCATTATCCCAAGGTCGTACCCTAAACCCTAGACCCTAAACCCTAAACCCTAAACCCTAGAATAGGGCTTGGAGCCTCCCCAAACCTCATCATCAGACATCCTTTTGCATCCAGGCCTCTTCGAACAGGTAGTCAGACATCCTGAAACCCTCAACCCTAAACCCCTAAACCCTAAACCCCTAAACCCCTAAACCCCTAAACCCCTAAACCCCTAAACCCCTAAACCCCTAAACCCCTAAACCCCTAAACCCCTAAACCCCTAAACCCCTAAAAACCCTCAACCCCAAACCTTTTGGGGCTTCAAGCTTGCAGTCTGAGCTTCCAAGTCGAGCCAGCTGGGCAAGCTGAAATTGTGCCTGTGCTGGAAAGCCAGCCCCCCGCGAATAGAATCTACATGGCGGAGGATGGTCTGGAAGTCTGCGAGTGTCAACACATGCACAGATGTGAGAATACTATAAATATACATATATGTATATGTATATATATATATTTTTTTTTTCAAGTATACATTCTTTGTATACGTGCAAGACAGGCTTCAGGCAGTGTGGGCATGTGTGGGCGTCTGCTTCTTCCACGTGTAAGTTATGGCCATCTTCAACTCACGGGGGGCGCTCCAGGAATTTGGGCACGCAAGGCGGGCAATCGCCTCGACATCACCAGCCTCTGCGGCACGTCGCCTTCGGCCGTGGGCTGAGGGCTTACCTGAACCCCCTCGAGTACCCCTTATGTAATGGGGCCTGCGAGACGCAGAACTCTTAAATGAGGGATCAACAGGGCACGTGAAGTCGCATCCCGACATGACAACCCCACCCCAAGCAAACGAACCTAAACCCTAAACCCTAAACCCTAAACCCTAAACCCTAAACCCTAAACCCTAAACCCTAAACCCTAAACCCTAAACCCTACGCAAAACCCTCAACAACAGTCCAAGATGCTCGACCCAGGTTCCCTAAACACCCGATGCCCCAGCCCTTCGTGGCCCGCACCTGTCGACACTCAGGTTGTAGCCCCACGCAGGTGGGAACAGCTCAGGGCAGCCTCCTGAGGAGTCTTATGATGATGCCCTCAACCCTAAACCCTAAACCCTAAACCCTAAACCCTAAACCCTAAACCCTAAACCCACCGAGGCTAAGGGGTTTTTTGTCTTTCATGTTGGGGGATATATCGTTGAGATCTATGAGGTTCTTACATGCTATATGCTATGACGGCTTAGGATTCCTAAACCCTAAACCCTAAACCCTAAACCCTGAACCCTAAACCCTAAACCCTACACCCTACACCCTAAACCCTAAACCCTAAACCCTAAACACCCCAAAACCCTAAACCCTAAACCCTAATTAAACCCTAAACCCTAAACCCTCCCCCCCAAATGAACCGTCAGATCTGGCTATGTTATGTCTGTCCGGGTTGAATGTGCAAGAGCCCAGGAGCCTGCCTCTTCCACGCTACGTGCATGCGGGGGTGTTCCCCTAAACCCTAAACCCTAAACCCTAAACCCTAAACCCTAAACCCCTTCCATATGGGCTGGACAAGGCATCCTGCTCCGTCATCCTTCAACCTTACCCTCAGGGCCATGGTACTGAACATAGGGAATACTTGGGCCTTAAAGTACTTCCTACATAGGGCCTTTTTGGGCAGAGGTATATAACTAGCAGGTACATGGACCCTTAGGGTTCAGCCTAGCACAGTTTCAAGGGAAGCCTTCAGACATGTTCTCGGTTCCCCAAGGTATGGCAGTTCTGCTTGCGTGAAAGGCTACAGGTATAACTGCCTAAGCCTTTAAGCTTTAAACCCTAACCCCTAGATGAGGGAGTGCCTGGGAGTTATATCAGGCTCTTGGGGAAAACGCCTCTCTTTTTTTTCAACATTCCTCACGCGCTCGAGGACAAGGAATCGATCGCCAGCTTCTCCAACACTGCCACTGCCTCATGAGGCCGCGACGCACGGGTGAAAGTGCTCAATGCAGAGCTTTGCACCAGAGCATTGGCCTCAATGCCTTAGCAGCCCGGCACAACCATATTCTAATAAGGGTACCCCTTTTTTTGTTGCTTAATTTAACAACGGGAACTCAGAGCCCAAAAAAACAAGTAAAGGGTACCACTGGGCCACCAAGATGCCATATGTCTCCGCGTCGTGAATCAACTGCTGGGCTCGCCGCCAGTGTGCCGATCGTGTACAGGAGCCCATGGCAGAGCTACACAAGACACCTATACTGAACTTGGAACCCTAGCAAAAGTTGTAATCTTAGCTGGTTCTTAGGATTTAAAGTACCCAACAATCATAATTTAAGCTGTTTCTTAGGTATTGAAGTGCCCAAAAATTAGAAAATCTTTCCAAGCATCCCTAAGACGCAGTTGACGTCAACCAGATTCCCGCCCAAGAGCGAGAAAGCAGCTTGCCACTGTGCGCCGGATTGGTAGGCATTCAGTACAGAGCCTAGACTCCCCTTAGAACCTTAGCAAAAAAGCTTTAGGGTTTAGGGTTTAGGGTTTAGGGTTTAGGGTTTAGGGTTTAGGGTTTAGGGCTCTTATATAAACACAAACAATAAAAAAAAATTCCCAAGGGGGACATAGGAGCCCCACATCAGGACATCAACCAGTACTCCGGTCCTTGCGGCCTGTTGAAGAAGATGCGTCACTTTTGGCCAGCAGCTTGCCTAGGATGGCCCTTACTGTAAACCCCTCTGAAACATATTCTTGGATATGATCCTCTTAAACCCAAGAAGGGAATATATCCAGCAATATCCCAAGGGCTCTAAACCCTAAACCTAAACCCTCAACCCTAAACCTAGTTGCGCTGGAGCAGGCGGTCATCACGGTGCTGTAGGCCGGTGCGTTGGCAGGCACTGAAAGCAGCTCCAGGCTGCACAGAAGTTGGCTGGAGTCAGACCTTATTTAGGGTTTAGGGCTTAGGGTTTAGGGTTTAGGGCCCCATTAATCAAGGAATAAGAAGGTTAGACTTTTCAATTCCTACGAAATAAGGAAACCCCAAAAGCTTTGAGTTCAGTTATTGTTGAGGGAGAGACCATCTGTCACATCTCTCGCACGCTGCTGCGGCTGCAGTATATGCAACCGTGTTTGTTTGAAGGAGGGCTTGATGAAGCATCCGCACTAGAAGCAGCGCCTCTGCCCAGCAGCCGCTCTGCTCGCACGCAGAGATGCAGGCGCCGTATGAGATGACGTCCCCGAGCGCGCGCCAGAGCGGCATCTCTGACAATAGGGATGTTGCATGCTGCCACCGTCCAGAACGGCAAAACGCAGTCAGAAGTGCGTTGCACGTCACCTCGCAGACGTTGGGCGAGGTGCTGTGGAGCTCATGAAACAGGAGGACGGCCTTTTGCCACTGCTGCCCAGCACCGCATGCACTTATGAGGGTGTTGTAGCAGACGCTGGTGGCCTGCAGCTGGCAACTGATCATGACTGCGAAGATATGGCATGCCACCAGCCACTGCGTTGCTTTTTCACAAGCGCTCATCACTGAGCAGTATGAAATCACATCCGGTGTGATTCGACCACTTGTTGCGTCTGACAGCACTTGCAACGTCCACTGCCAGTGCCTGCATGTGGGGTCGTGGGACAAATGAACAAGAACTGCCGATGCCTGCATGTGCGATCGTGGGAGAAACAAACAAGAAGCAAGCTTGGCGTGCTTTTCTCACGTCTTTGACTGTGTATACGCCCCCGAATGAGTGCTTGCCAGATCGCGAGCTAGGCATTGCAAGACGATTCGGGTTGAGCGCTTTAAGTCCATCGAGCCAAATGCTAGATGCTCAGAAACCGAACATGAACTGATAGATAGTGCAGATGGACGAGCTACCGCGACAAGAGAAACAGCAACAGAGCGCATGCAACTGGAGATCCCAGCGCCTGCATGCGGCAATGGCCGCATTGCAGGTGACGCAAGTCGGTTGGATGTGGGCCTCCCGCGACCTTGCTAAAGATCGCACGGCAAGCTGCCAGTTGGCAGACCCACAGGAGCTGATCATCGCATTATACGAGATGGCGTCAGCTCGCATTTGCTTCTCCAAACTTGTGAGGCAGCCTGCTGCGTCTTCCCACCTGGACTTGTCGAAGGAACTGATGAGAGCGTTGAATGAGATCAAGCTTGCTTGGAGACAAGCGCTGTCGAGACTGTCAAATACGCACAGGCTCAGCTTCCATAGCCTTGGTAGCCCAGTAGCCATATTGTAAATAAGGATACCCTGTTTTGGTTGGTGACTTTTAGAAGGGAACCCAGAACCCCAAGAAGGGTAAAGGGTACCAGTGGGCTACCAAGTTGCTCTCCCTTCTCCAAGCAGCTCACGACCGCGTTGTGCAAAATCGTGTCGGTCTCCACACTCTGGATGCGCAAGTCCTCCAACAGCCGAAGTGCCTGCGGCCACTGCTCTGCACTTACCGTGCTGATTGTGGCAGTGTAGAGGACCACGTTAACCTTCAAGTTCTGGCTGGCTGTGGCTGACAAAATCTCAAGGCTGTTTTGCCAGTTCTGCGATTGGCGGCATGCATGAATGGCCTGCACATTCTCCCTCAATGGACTGCATCGGTGATCCTGCGTTGTCTGAAGGGCCGTGCTCGGATGCATCCATCGGCAAGGCCATGACTAGTCTTCTGACATAACCAACGCGAAGGAGTCAGCTAAAGCGGCTATGCATGTAAGATCGAAAATAGTACACCCGCTCTAGTACACCTTCGTCTGGAGGTCGTCTTCGAAAGCAAGCTTGCCATCTTAAAGAGGGTCTGTTGATATCTCGGGAGCGTGAGAAGAAGTCCCCTTGAACAAAAAAAATGCCGGCGGCGGCGTCGTACGAAGAGGGTGGCCCCTAACGCTTCAATGCTTCAACAGAGCCTTACAGGGGTTCCTGACTGCGTTGGGGGTGGGGGACAGTAAAGGGGGCTCAACAGTAAGTACCCTACACGTTCAAAGAATCATGATTAGGTTACTAGAGCCCCTAAGGAACCCAGAACTAGGTCCAGGGAAGGATAGGGTTACTGCGGGACGCCCAGGCACCGTCGCAAAGCTTTGTCACGACGGGCTCGCCCTCTTTGATGTCTCTCGTCGTCGTTAAGACCAGCTCCAACCGAAGCCTAGCGACAGCTCAAGGATGTACTGGTTCTGGCCCTAAACCCTAAACCCTGAACCTTAAACCTTAAAGCCTAAACCTAAAGCCGCAACAAAAACAAGCGGGTTGGCTCTTCGATCTAGGGTTAAGGCCCCAGCGCCCCAAACACCAAATGAGGGCTTACGAGAATAGGGGACCCTAAAATAGGCCCCCAAGTACTAGGATTCCTCTTTCTTGTAAGAAGGGCCCCAAAAAGGTACCCCCCAATTTCGGAAACCACCAAATCACCAGCACCATAAACCCGGACGATGTCGATGCCAAGACTTGGCGGGGTGAACAGAAAGCGACAGGATACCTTCGTCCTATCCCGCCTAGAAGACAGCCGTGGAGAGTGAAGCTCCTACTTTGGGATGTTCCCCCCTTATACTTGCGGTCCTTAATACGGATTATAAGAGGGGGTACTATAGTCCCTATTCAGGACTGCCAGCATAAGGGGGCGGAACTCGCAGATGATCAACCAGGCAGGGATCCGGGTTGCGTCATCAGAAGGCTACGGTGCAGAGCTCAGAAGGGTTCGTAATTAATGGAGACTCCACCCCCTGCATCCTGATTGCAGTAAGGTCGCACGCGCTGAACCCCCCAAACTCTATGTTCTGAATCCCAAAGTACGACCAGAGTGGCACGATGAACTGCACCTCACAAGATCAGCCCATCTAACATGTGGAGTAGAACTGCGGCTGAGGGCTTTCGAGCTTGCAGGGACCAGCATGGGCTATTATACCCTATAACCCCCCAAAAAGGCCCTCTGCCTATGCTGGGACTTCACATCTGCTTCACAAGCGCCCGAGCCTGCTCGAGTCACAGATGGCCTGGGCCTGTCAGAGGTGCTCAACATTCACCTCAACCCTAAACCCTGAACTCCAAACCCTTTCCCTTTTTTCAAAACCCAAAACCCTAAACCATAAACAGCAGAAAGATGATCTTTGTTTTGGTGCGCGTCCGTGTGTGACCCAGAGTCTGCTTTGCTGGCACTGCCAGAGCCCCGTTTAGGGTTCGCTTCGGGTTTAGGGTCTAGGGCTTAAGTCCCGAAAAGCTTGAAACCGACGTCCGAAAAACCTCTGAGCCCTGAAGCAGACATAGATTCCACAAGGTTACAAATTCCCTCATTCCCTACTAAGAACGAGTAAGAATACCACTATTCCATACACGTATATGATGAAGAAAGAACGCGGAAATGATATCACGAACCCTAGCTACCATAATTTGACGTCTATTCCTTGCCTAAATGGATTTTGAGCTTTCTTGGAAGGGTTAGGGAGTTTGGTGTGTGGGGGCGCAAGGAACCAAACCCAGAACTGAAAGGCGCTGTGTGGTCTCAGGTAGAGTTCAGGGTACTTCAAGGTTCATGGCAAGCAGGGATATACGCACCTTAAATAAGGTTATAAGCATAGCTGCCCAAATATTAAGCCTACTTATAAGAACCCATGAGCCTCCAAGTAACCTTCGGGTGCTGCACAGACCCCGAAACCCTAAACCCTAAGCCCTAAACCCTAACCCTGAACCCCAAACCCTAAACCCTAAACCCCAAACCCTAACCCCCCCCCTCCCCCACTTACCCACCTCCACGGGCATCTGCGAAAGCAAAGTGCCATCCAGGAGGAGCTGCAGCTCTGCCTGTTGCTCTGAAAAAGTCCTATAAACTCAAGGGATGAAAAGAAGGGGCCCTTATAAGGGACCTTAGGTATAAAGGGACTATATAAGGTGTGTGTATATACATATAGGTATATGGATATATGTATAATATTTTCGGGGTAATCTAGGAGAAGAACAAGAGCCGCATTTCTAGGGTCTCCTCCTTCAAGCCCTTGAAACCCTCAGCTTGAGCTGAAAGTTAGTAAGCCCTACATGCCCCTTGGGTCTGTCAGGGACATATAGGATTCTTGGGGCAAGCTACAAATGGAGAGGTTGTGGCTGCTTAAGGTCTTTCTCTCTCTCTCTCTCTCTCTGCCGTGCCATCCTCTAGGGTCTTGCTACGCAAGGTCTGTGGGGTATTTGTAGGGCGTTGGTCGCAGCAGTTTGCGGTTTCTGGTCTGCGGTGTAGAGTCGAAAGTCCAACCAAGGGTTTAGGGTTTAGGGTTTAGGGTTGCAGCTTCAACACGGGGATCCAAAAGGGGTTGCCGAAATTGGGGGGGGGTACCTTTTTGGGGGTCCTTGTTAACTACAAGGGCTACTATTTGGGGGGGGATTTTAGGGGTCCCCTATTTTCGTAAACCCCCAAATGGCCCTCAGCCCTTGACCCACAAGCTCCTACCATATGGCTCAACCACTCGGTACATTGATCCTCGAGATCTTTGGTAGGGCAAGCCGCATTCGCTGCCCCAGGCAAAAGGTCGTGCGCGAACCTTCCTGGAAAGGCGGCAGGGAGTACGGCCACCTGTGGGAGGACGCGGGCTTTTGCCATGTTGTTGGGAGATTTTGAGAACCCTGAGCATCATTTTGCTAGACTTCGCCCTAAACCCTAAACCCGAAACCCTAAACCCTAAACCCTAATCCCCAAGTAGGGAGCCAGAACTCTGGATCTCGGGGACATCGTGGAGCCCACCACAAACGACTAACAAGGCTCCTAGGTAGAGCTTCCCGTGACAGTTCCACGTTTAGGGTTTAGGGTTTAGGGTTTAGGGCGCTAAGTCTAGCCCCCATGATGCCTTGATTCAAACACGCCTGAAACCACAGATACGCCATAAGTCAAAGCATTCCCAAGCCGTGCTTCCACAAATCACCGTGCTGCTTCACAGCCATAAGGTCACAAACCCGAGCCCTCAAACCGATGTAGGGTTCGTAAGGTCACAGGTGTTAATTCCACGCCTGTGCCCGCTCAACATCCCACCTCCCCAGCCAAGAGAGCCCCGCTGCTGGCAGCACCGAGCGATGCAGCGAGGTCGGCAGGCAGCAGAAAGGCGGGAGACACCAACTGCGCCTGATGAATAATGGTTTACTTGGTGCCCTCAACCACAAGCCACAAGGACAAGAAGATGTCAGCAGCAGAGCCATTACGGGAAAAACCACGGTTTGGAAGAAAACCCTGTGGACGCGGTAATGCTGTCATGCGCAGCACACCGAAATGGGGATTTCCGAACGTAGGGGGTACCCCTTGTATACTCGAAGTACCCCCAAATAATGAGGACACGCCAGTCTGAAGCCACAAGCCCCAGAGCAGTGTGTCCTTCGCAGGCAAAGCAGCGGCTGCAACAAGTCCTGGCGCAGGACCCTACTTCGAAGTTCAGGGTATTGATAACCCCAGTTATACTGCAACTATAAGCCCCCTAAGTCCCCGAAGTCCTCTACGTAGGTTACAAGTCGGCTTCTGATTGGGGTTATAAGTGCCCATGAACCTCCAAGTAGGCCCTCTGCAGCGACTGATCCACCTACTTGGAGGTTGTTGGGTACTTATACGTAGGGTTAGAAGTAGGGTAGCCTGTGGTTGTCTCAGTTTCCAAGTGCACTTATAACCGAACTAAGCACCCATGAACCTTCAAGTAGCCACCTCCACTACCCGAATTCCCAACCTTCCCCTGCCTTCCCTGAAAGCCGGCCCACGGAACCCAAACGCAGAGTTGAGGAATGTGGTGCGAGCCCATGCAAAAAAGCGAACCAGGATGGCCCTATAAAAAACCCTCTGAACAAAAAGATTCCCTGAACAAAAATCACTCTTAACTGAACCACAAAAAAAAGGGGGAAAATGCAAAATGTCCCAAATGGCCTACCTAGCTAAGGAATACATATTCTCTACTTCGGGGGTACTTGGGCACTCGCCTGAGCTGCCAGGGTCCGCTGCAAGATGACTGACGCAGACGCCTCTGACAGTCTAGGGTTTAGGATTTAGGATTTAGGGTTTAGGGTTTGGGGTTTAGGGTTAGCTCTTCACCAGCTTCCGATATCCGCGGCCATCCTCTTGAACTCCCTCTACTGAACCTAGAAACCTAAACAAAAGACCCTAAACCCTAAGCCCTAAACAATATTGAAACAAAAAGCCTGAACCATGGGCTAAGTTCCTGAACTGTCGGGTCTCGAACTCTCCTGGGCTCTTTCTAGGGGCCAAATGAATTAGAATTGGGTTGTGGGGCTTATTATAATATAATCATAAAGGGATTATAAAGGAATACTGTTAGTAATTATTCCGACCCCTATATTCGATATAGGCCCTTTGAAACAGGCTTCAACCCACACTAAACACAACCCTAAAGCACAAACTCCATCAAACCCCAAAGCGCAAAAGCGTAAACTGCTAAACCCTGTCAACCATAAGCCCACCCACACACACACACACCCCAAACCCTAAACTAACCCTAAACCCTAAACCCCAAACCCTAAACCCTAAACCCCAAACCCCAAACCCTAAACCCCAAGCCTTAAACCCTAAGAGAGTTTGCCTTTTGCATCGGAGGTCAGCTCTTGGGGCTCCGCTGAAGCTTGCAGGCCACGGTCTGTGAACCACCTCGGCTCACTGGGCTTGCTTGCAGGGACTTGTGAGGGAACTTATTTGTGGATATATATATATATATATGTATATATATATATGTGTATACATATATGTGTATGTATGTACAGATGAATAAATACACAGATATAGATACACATATATAATAATGCATATATATATATATATAAGGAATAGCTTCTACGTGGAAGGCTGAGGCTTCAAGCTTTTAGGGTGCAGGGCCCAAGGGTGAAGCTAACGTCCCCGAACTGGCGCGGGCTGCAGAACTGACCGAACCCTAAGTCTGAGACAGGGATTATTTACCTAGATACTAGAGGTACACATATGTACAATGTACACATATACAATATATATATATATGCACACCGAGGTACTATAGGTATGAGCCTTAAGTCTGATGAGGCTGTTTTAGGGTGCGACACGCCCTAAGCCAAGGTCCTCAATGAGGGTTTCGGGTTCTGGCATCTGGAACGCAAGGCAAACCGTACTCCCTAGGCCCTAGAGGCCGCAATAGGAAGCCTACTAAGTTCTAAACACTTCAGAGGGGGTAAGACGCTTAAACCCCAAACCCGCTTAAACCCCAAACCCTAAACCCTTAACCTGAAACCGCCGGAACCGGCTCACAGTAGAGACCGGGCGGGGAAGTCAGGGTTCGAATCCCTTCCGGGCCGCTCCGTGGTACCATAGGAGATGAAGAGCTCCTCTCCTACAGTGCTTCGGGCGTGGCGTTGTTGAAGTAGTTTCACTGAAGATTCTCCGGTGTTTCAGGGTGTATACGGGTTTAGGGCTAGTTTCACTTAGGATACTTCGGAGTTCAGGGTTTAGGGTTGCTTTCTGTTCCCGGCTAGAGGTCTTGAAGGCATCTGACACAGAAGGCTTCGGGTGTTTCGCCTGACTGAGCAACTCGGATGCACTGGCGGGCTTAGGATTGAGGATGTGAGGTTTACTTGGTAGCCCAATAACCATTTCATGATCAGGGTGCCCTTTTTTGGGGTTGGTTACTCTAAAATGCAACCTTGAACCAAAAAAAAGGGTAAAGGCTACCCATGGGCTACCAGGGAGCCCAAGAAACTCAAAACCCAAAACCCAAAACCCAAAACCCAAAACCCAAAACCCAAAAACCAAAACCCAAAACCCAAACCCGAGACTCACAAAGAACCCAAAACCCTAAACCCTAAACCCGAAACCCTAAACCCTAAACCCTAAACCCTAAACCCTAAACCCTAACTCGAGACTCACAAAAGGCCAAGCCGTGGGGACCTTGCCTGCTTGGATGTGCCGGCGCGTGCGCAACGCAGCCCTGCTTCCCTCCTGAAGTGCTGGCCGGATGTCACAGGACGGTTTCGGGGTTTAGGGTTTAGGGTTTAGGGTTTAGGGTTTAGGGTTTAGGGTTTAGGGTTTAGGGCTAGGGTTTAGGGTTTGGGGCTTAGGGTTTAGGGCTGTCTGGGTTTTCGAAAAGCCTTCGCAGCTGAGCCCGAGCCTTACAACTTCTTCTCTCCCCGTTGACGCAAGTGCTACAGGGTGGAACCGACCCTAAACCCTAAACCCTAAACCCTAAACCCTAAACCCTAAGCCCTAAACCCTAAACCCTAAACCCTAAACCCTAAACCCTAAACCCTAAACCCTAAACCCAATGATGGTTCCCGGTGTGGACAACCTGGGGCAATGGGCATCCACCGGTATTCACAAGCCGTTTCTGTGCATCTTTCACTCATGACTCTTAGCAGTGCCGGTATTGTGGAACCTCTGGTTTCCTTTAGGCCCGTAAATGGGCGACCCCTTATGCAGCCCTGAATGCCCCATACAACCCAGGGGCCAAGACTTCAGAACCCTTTTAAAGGAGGTAAGGGACCCCATTAAAGGCCAATAAACCGACCCTTGGAGGCTTGCACGCATCCTGAACCTATGACTCTCAGTGGTGTAGTCTGCGTCCCTCGCCTGGATTTAAAGCTGATGTTGTAGCTTCGTCTGTGTGCGGAAACCCGGAAACAGCAGCACACAGGTCAGTTGTTAGGGCACCAATACCCCATAAACCCGGAACCCAAACCCTATACCCTAAACCGTACACTCTAAACCCGTCTCGTCTCAGAGATTATGAATCGGAAAGGAGCCAATGACTCAAGAACTATCCCAGGGCCTCCGATATGTGAAGATCACAATTCACCTGAACGACGGCTAGGGTTTAGGGTTCAGGTCAGGGTTCAGGTTTTGGGGTTTAGGGTTTAGGGTTCAGGGTTTAGGGCTTCGGGTTTAGGGTTCAGGGTTTAGGGCTTCGGGTTTAGGGTTCAGGGCTTCGGGTTTAGGGTTAGGGCATGCAGGGCTGGCATCTGGCATGAGGATGGGTTTGGCTGTTGTGCGGAGGTTGAAAACAACTCTTCATGGGTTATGGGTTCAGGGTTCAGGGTTCAGAGTTCAGGGTTTAGGGTTTAGGGTGGTTGAAAACCCTAAACCCTAAACCCGTGTGCAAAAAACTGACTCCGTCGAGTTGACCTTGTGTCACAGCCCAGAATAAGGATAATAGTACCCCTATTAGAATCCCGACTAAGGACTGCTACTAGTAAAAGGGGAAGCATCCCCGACAAGTCCCCTTCGAACCCCCTTCCCAAAACCCAGCGCGTCGCCCTAAGCCACAACAAAAAAGCACCAAGTAAGCCCGAACGGGACCCTACAGGCCCTAAGCAGACCTGAAGCCCTAAACTCTCAACCCCCGAAGTCAAACAGTCTAAAACCCTGCCGAACCCTGAACCCTGAACCCTGAAAGCCTCAACCCGAAAACCCTAAAACCACATTGAAACCAGATCCTTGACCCTACGACCTCTCTCTCTCTCCCCCCCCCACAAACCCTAAACCCTAAAACCCCTAAGGCCCTAAAACCGTAAAGGCCCTGAAGCCCTCTACACCCGATAACCCCCTAAACCCGAAAACTCGAAAACCCTAACCCCCCCCCCCCACTAACCCTAAACCCTGAACCCTGAACCCTGAGCCCTAAACCCTAAACCCTAAACCCTGAACCCTAAACCCTAAACGAGGCCTGATTGCCGACACCGTGGTTGGCCAAGGAGGCCGGGCCCAGCATGAGGCGGCTCTGGGCCTGCGCCGGTGATTTTTGATTTTGTTTCTTTTTGTTCTTTGTTTCTTATTTGATTTTATTGATTTTCTTTTTATCATGTTTTTTTTTTTTTGGGGGGGGGGGGGGGGGGGGGGGGGGGGGGGGGGGGGGGGGGGGCGTAGGGCTTAGGGTTTTAGGGTTTTGGGGTTTTGGCGTTTTTGGTTCAGGCTTCTAGGGTGTTCGGGTTTTGGGGATTTGTGGTTTTGGTTTCTTTTTTTCCTCAGGGAGTTTAGGGCACATGTTCTCGCAGTTTAGTCTGTAGTTTGGGGGGGTGGGGGGGTTGGGGGGGTTGGGGGGGGGGGGGGGTGGTTGGGGCCCGAGCAGACGGACGTTCTATGGCCAGGCATTGGGCTTAGGGTATTGGGGTCACCTCGCGAGCCATGGTATTCGACTTGCTGTTGGTTAGCAAGGAATGAGGGAACTAGGGCCCTATATATACCCTTTAAGGGATTTTATAGGGTACCTCATTTCCCATTCCCTGCTAACCAACAGTAAGTTGACCCAAATGCAAGATGCATTTTCGGCGTCGTTGCTTACGCACCTAAAGACACATGTTGTATGTACCTGGCCCATAGCAGAGTTGGTCCGAATGTATCGGTAGGTGCCTATATTCATCAGTCTGTAGACGCTATGTTGAGTTGCAATTCTCCTACGAAGGCTGGCTGTACGGCCGTGGACAAAGTAACGATGTCTGTTCCCTACGGTAAACCTTTACAGGCCCTGTACAGGATTGACAGGGACTCTCCAACCAAACCTCCTTCTGCGCCTCATCGCCGTGCTTCTCTGAAGCTGGGCCTGCGAAGACATAGGTTGCGAGCCTTGGGCAACATGTGTGATCTTAGGGAAGGGGATGGGGGGCGCGTGGACAACTGTAGCCAGGATTAACAGCTCCAGGAACTGACACTCAGCAGTGGAATTTCAAGGCTTGGGGATTTAGGGCTAGTACGGGGCTAGGGTCGTCAAAATGTTGCACAGGCAGCTGCGTCAGCTCAGCGATATGGCTTGGCAGCACAGACACGCGCGAGGCAGCAACAGCAGCACCTCCAGCAGAAACCCTACACCCACCAATGCCTGAATTCGATGAACCTCAAGTCCTTAATTCGACCCGAACTCCCAAGCTTTTGGCGACCGGATGAGGGGTGCCCGAAGAAACCCACCGGAAGCTTACTTCCTAGGTATAACCCTTCAAGGAATTCAAAAAAGTTGTAAAGTACTTCTGGTATCCTAATTCCATACCTGCTAAGTTAGAGGCATCGCGCAATCCATCCTTAACCCTAAACCTTAAACCCTAAACCGCAACAAGCATCGAAAATTCCCCCTCCTCTCTCTCTCTCTCTCTCTCTCTCTCTCTCTCCCCGCAAAGGGCACCGCAAACAAACAACGACTTGTCTCTGGCCTGCTGGCAGGTCGATGCCCGCAAAGATGCCGCACCCTCGGGGTCAAGCCCGGTCGGCTTGCGCTCTGTTAAAGAAGCTGTAGGGTTTAGGGTTTAGGGTTTAGGGTGTAGGGTTTAGGGTTTAGGGTTTAGGCTTTAGGGCTTAAATCTCAGGTGCCTCTTTGAGAAGAAGGGGCATCGTGGACTTGCCTATAAATATAGGGGAAATGTTGCAGAAAGTTCTCCCTAAACCCTAAACCCCAAACCCTAAACCCTAAACCCCAAACCGCACCTGCGGCTGGGAGTGTGGATGGCGCCATCCACAGCGTGCAGTTCCCGGCCCTGGGCGCAGCATCAGGCACCATTCTCTTGGCGAAGCATCGGTTTAGGGTTTAGGGTTTAGGGTTTAGGGTTTAGGGTCTAGGGTTTAGAGTTCAGGGTTTAGGGTTTAGGGTTTAGGGCTTAAGGAAACCCCAGAGCCCTGTAAACCCCTACAGGCCCCAAACAAAATCACCGTATCCCTAAACCCTAAACCCTCCCAAGGAAGAGCAAATTCGCAGACCCGGGGGCGCCAGCAGCGCCCCGGCAAGGGCGGAGCCCAGCGGCGCCATGGCGCGGCCGGGCTCGGCACAGCTCTCCGCTCTTGGCTTTGCTTTTGGCCATCCGCTCAGAAGAACTGATTTTTTGGTTTAGGGTTTAGGGTTTAGGGTTCAGGGTTTTGGGGTTTAGGGTTTGTAAGGGTTAAGGGTTTAGGGTTTCGGGTTTAGGGTTTAGGGAAGAGGGCATTTTCGGGGGGCGTGTGTAGAGCGGTGGGCTGGTCTGAGGGCTGAGGGGCTTGAGGACCCTTTCGGCACCCCCTTGGGAAACGGTAGTTCTTTTTGGGAGTTGCTGAGGTTTCGGCTTGGCTTTGCCTCTGAATGCTGTACTATGGGCAGCACATGCAGGGCTTGAAAAAAGTGTAGACTCAGCGCGATGCTTGGGTTGAAATACCCAAAACCCTGGTGTCGCGGCCGGCAATCAGAACTCGTGGACATGTTCTTTGCCGAAAGCAAGGGCCAACTAAGCTGCCCGGACAGAGGGGGGGGGGGGGGGCTTGAGGCTTAGGGTTCGTGGCAGGAGAGTGTCTGAATTTGTTCATAAGGGCTACAGTAGGTAGTTGGAGATGCTGCTCTGTTGTTCGAGTATTCGAGGATTAGACTAAGGGAAGATGTTGCCTGCAGTCAGCAAGACCCATAGACGCCTTATCCCAGCCGAACTGAGAGCCACGCCGGAAAGCTGCTAAGAGCCCCGCTGAGCCGCTAAACCCCAAACTTTGTGGTTCAAGCCCTAAACCCTAAACCCTAAACCCCAAACCCTAAACCCTAAGCCTTAAACCCAGAATCCCTGACCCCCAATGTGCATCCCTACTTGCTTCAAGAGGCAACCCCCACCCAACCTCAGAGCTTCGGGCCATTCAGGGGATTAGCTAGGGTTTAGGGTTTAGGGTTTAGGGTTTAGGGTTTAGGGTTTAGGGTTTAGGGTTTAGGGTCTAGAGGGTCATTGTTCTAGCATTCATTCCAGGCTTAGGGAAAAAAACCCACCCGCCCAAAGAATCCCATAACATTAAGAAAATAAACGGTTTTCATTTTACTCCAGATGGTTTAAGCCCTAAGCCGGTTTAAGCCCTAAACCCTAGGGTTTAAGCCCTAAACCCTAGGGTTTAAGCCTTGAGGCCTTGAAACCCTAAACGCTGGGCCCTGAAACCTAAACACAGGCCCTGCAGGCCCTGAGGCCTTGAAACCCTAAACGCTGGGCCCTGAAATTCTAAACGCAGGCCCTGAGGCCCGGAAACCCGAACCACAGGCTGAAACAGGCCCTGAAACCCTAAACACAGGCCCTGAAGCCCTGAAATCCTAAACGCTGGGCCCTGAAACCCTAAACACAGGCCCTGAGGCCCTGAAACCCTAAACACAGGCCCTGAAGCCCTGAAACCCTAAACGCTGGACCCTGAAACCCTAAACACAGGCTCTGAGGCCCTGAAACCCTAAACACAGGCCCTGAGGCCTTGAAACCCTAAACGCTGGGCCCTGAAACCCTAAACAAAGCCCTGAGGACCTGAAACCCTAAACACAGGCCCTGAGGCCTTGAAACCCTAAACGCTGGGCCCTGAAACCCTAAACACAGGCCCTGAGGCCCTGAAACCCTAAACACAGGCCCTGAGGCCTTGAAACCCCAAACGCTGGGCCCTGAAACCCTAAACACAGGCCCTGAGGCCCTGAAACCCTAAACACAGGCCCTGAGGCCTTGAAACCTAAACGCTGGGCCCTGAAACCCTAAACACAGGCCTGAGGCCCTGAAACCCTAAACACAGGCCCTGAGGCCTTGAAACCCTAAACGCTGGGCCCACCCCAAACACAGGCCCCGAGGGGGGAGGGGGGAAGGGGGGGAGGGGGGGGTGGGGCCGAAATCGGCCGAACACTGGGGGGACCAGTGTTCGTGGCTTTTCGGCCAGGCCGAAATCGGCCGAACACTGGGGGGACCAGTGTTCGTGGCTTTTCGGCCGTTGCCGAAATCGGCCGAACACTGGGGGGACCAGTGTTCGTGGCTTTTCGGCCGTGGCCGAAATCGGCCGAACACTGGGGGGACCAGTGTTCGTGGCTTTTCGGCCGTGGCCGAAATCGGCCGAACACTGGGGGGACCAGTGTTCGTGGCTTTTCGGCCAGGCCGAAATCGGCCGAACACTGGGGGAACCAGTGTTCGTGGCTTTTCGGCCGTGGCCGAAATCGGCCGAACACTGGGGGGACCAGTGTTCGTGGCTTTTCGGCCGTGGCCGAAATCGGCCGAAGGTTTAAATATATATAAGAAAGAGAGGGTTTAGGGTTTAGGGTTTAGGGTTTAGGGTTTAGGGTTTAGGGTTCATGGGTACTTAGAAGTAGGTTTAGAAGTACCGCAAATACGGTTACAACCAGAGTCGCCCCACTTACAACCGCATCTACAAGTACCCATGGGCCCTCCAAGCAAACCCTAAACCCTCAACCTTCAAAACCCTAACCTTCACGCCCTGAATCCTAACCAAATCCTTGGAACCCTAAAGCCTTTTCTACCCTAAACCCTAGACCCTAGACCCTAGACCCTAAACCCTAAACCCTAAACCCTAGCATTGATGTTCTTGGGAGCCCGGTTTGTGAGTGCTCCCCGCTGAAAGCCGGTGCTGGGGCAGCCAGCCGCAAGACAGCAGTGCCGGGGCATCCACACCTTCCACCTGCGGCTTAGGGTTGAGGGTTTAGGGTTAGGGTTTAGGGTTTAGGGTTTAGGGTTTAGGGTTTAGGGTTTAGGGTTTAGGGTTTAGGGTTTAGGGTTTAGGGTTTAGGGTTTAGGGATTAGGTGCAGGAGGTCTAGGGGTTTACGGGTGTAGGGGTGTAAGGGCTTGAGGTTTGGGGGCTTAGGGGAGTAGGAGCTTAGGGCGTAGGGGTTTAGGGTCTAGGTTTAGGGTCTAGGGTCTTGCGCACAATCTTGTCTTGGCCCCATCTTGGGTAGGTAGCTTACCCCATATACCCCTCGCAGAACCCTTGTTGCACTTGTATACGCCTTAACAAAGCCTTATGGAAGGTAGCTCTCTTCCCCATCTTGGCCAGGGCCATTATAGGTTACAGGGAATCTTCAAATCCAAACCCTAAACCCTAAACCCCAAACCCCAAACCCCAAACCCTAAACCCTAAACCCTAAACCCTAAACCCTGCAACCCACGCCCAAACGGAAGGGCTTTGGGCTCATCGGTTTAAGGCTCTGAGGACGCACACACACACACACAGCAGAGCCTGAATTCGAGCCCTAAATTGGCCCTTTAGATCGTCTGAAACGGACATGCCGAAATAAGACCCTAACTCAACCAAGAGGGTCGGGGGCTTAAAGAAACATCGGCGCATTCAAGTTAAAGAAAGAAGCCTTAAACTGGCCATGAGAGCAAACCTCGCAGAATACCAGAAGTGTAAACCCTCAAGACGCAGGCCCCTTTGTGCGTCTGTGCCCCCTGGTTCTAGTAGGGAATGAGGCAAGTCAGGCCCTATATTCATATTAAGATTAAGATTAATATTAAGATTAATATTAATATATATATATATATACATTTGTATATACACCCTTTGAAAGATTATATAGGGTACCTGATTCCCTCGTTCCCTACTAAGAACCGGCCAGTGTATGGTCCCATCAAGTCTCCGGTATTGAAAGGGACTTTCGAGTCGGGAGCTGCGGCTGGCTGCATGGATGCACAGGGCCCTGTTTAATAACCCTAAACCCTAAACCCTAAACCCTAAACCCTAAACCCTAAACCCTAAACCCTAAACCCTAAACCCTAAACCTAACCTTAAATCCTAAAGCCCTAGCCCCGGTAAACCCTCAAGCCCCCATTTGATTTGAAACCCCAAACCCTAAACCCTAAACCCTAAACCCTAAACCCTAAACCCTAAACCCTAAACCTAATTAACTTGTACCCTGCGAGGCTCGGAGCCTTGAAAAAGTGCCGGAGCCGCTTCTCATAGTCCTGCGCGGCTTCCTCGTCAGGTGAGGGTTTAGGGTTTAGGGTTTAGGGTTTAGGGTTTAGGGTTTAGGGTTTAGGGTTTAGGGTTTAGGGTTTAGGGTGTAGGGTGTAGGGTTTAGGGTTTAGGGTTTAGGGTTTAGGGTTTAAGGTTTAGGGTTTAGCAATACTTGGAGGCTCATGGGTGCTGACAAGTAGGGTTCTAGGTAGGGTAACTATGGTTTGAACCCCCATCTAGGGTACTTACTACACGAAGCTGTCGAAGCGAGTCTGCGTCTCCACCTTCACAGCTTCTGCGCCATTTCACAGCAAACCCTTAAAAAACCAAAACCCTCAACCCTAAACCCTAACCCTAAACCCTAAACCCTAAACCCTAAACCCTAAACCTCGCGACCCCAAAGCGGTGTCATGGCTGAAGGAGTCTCGGGTCGAGCCCTGGGCTGGAGTGAGTTTCCAAAGGGTTTTGGGGGCTGGGGTTTGTGGGTCTCCTTTTTTTGCAACTGGCTTGGAGTAGCCTAAACTCTAAACCCTAACCTCCTACATAAATATGTATATATATATATGCGGAAATGTAATTATGCAGAATTAAGATAACCGCTGAGCTTTAAGCCCTAATGGCCTATAGGTAGAATGTAAACCCTGAACCTCAGTTTCCTGGCTCATTTCTGACCAACCCTAAACCCTAAACCCTAAACCCTAAACCCTAACCCTTTTCCAAGACTTCGCCCGCCTCGATAGCATCCCCTAACCCTAAACCCTAAACCCTTGAACAGGCCTCCCAAGGCTTGCTGATGTCGGGCGCCAGCAGCTGCTCCTGCGGCCACATGAAGAGAAAAGCATGTCCGAATCACAGAAATCGCAGAAAAAAGATGAAAAAATATGAAACTATGAAAGAAAGAAGGAAAGAAAGAAAGAACGGAAGAAGGAAAGACATAAAGTACGAGGAATGGCAATTATATTTAGACTAGTGGCAACTTTGAGGACATCGACATGAGTGCAAATCAACATGGTCAGAACGGCAAGAAAAACAATAACAGTGGCTCTCCGAGGGTTCAGGGTTTAGCATGTGGTAGGATCCCTGTTGCGTACCTATGCGTACCTATCATATTGCGGACCCTTCCATGTAGGATAGCCCCAACTGACTGCCATACGCAAGCCTTTTTAGGGAGGGACTGCAGTGCGATTTGCCCCCATATGCAAGCCACTGAAGATGTGAACTGTCATGGGAATGTCCAAGGCAGCTCAAGTCCACAGATGCGACTCATAAACAGCCAGCATGGTTTTTGCCACCTGCTAGAGCCCTAAGGTTCCTTAGGTACCTAATCCCCTTGAACCTCCTTAACCCCAACCCTAAACCCTAAACCCTAAACATAAACCCTAAACCCTAAACCCTAAACCCTAAACCCTAAACCCTAAACCCCCGTCCCTTAAGAACCCTAAAAGCTCTCAGGGCTTTTCCACCCAGGCGGTGGCTGGGCTACCTTGGCTCTTTGGCCATAGCCTGGGCCCTCATGTCCGACGCCTTCAGGGGCCAAAGTGGGTTTAGGGTTTAGGGCCTAGCACCCCAAACCCTAAACCCTAAACCCTAAACCCTAAACCCTAAACCCTAAACCCTAAACCCTAAACCCTAAACCCTAAACCCTAACCCTAAACCCTAACCCTAAACCCTAAACCCTACACTCGCAAAGTTCGTGGTGTCCTTCTCTCACTGTGGTCGCGGTTTGGCTGAACTTGCTTGAGGTTTAAGCTTTGCGGGTTTCAGAGATTCTTGCTGGGTCTTTGTAAAAATTCTGAAATAACCCGGTATATAGGGCCCTAATTCCCCCATTCCCTACTAAGAACCAGGGGCTTTCAGAGTCTCTTGCAGTTTTTTGACGGAAGAACCATCGCGCCAGCTGACGTCAAGAGTCTGGGTTCACAAGGGGTCAGGGTTGAGGGTTTAGGGCTTAGGAAGTTCGCGAAAGGGTTCCTTCGAGTCCGGGGGGGGGGGGGGGGCAGAGGGGGAGCCCTCTTTTTGGGACACTTGCGAAACTCTTTTTGTTTCTGAAAGCTGCTTCGTGCAACAGGAGGGAGACCCACATTAGTCATCGGCAGGCGACAGGAGCCCTAGGCCGCTAAGCCCTGAACCCCTATACTTGGAGGTTCATGGGTACTTATACGTAGGGTTCTAAGAGCCCTAAACAAGGTTAAAACCAGATTTACCCTACTTCTAACCCTTCTTCTTCAGCAAGGCTGATTGTGTCCCTCTTTACAAGGTCCCGGGATTCTAGAAGGCTTTAAAAGGGTTGAGTGTATATGAATTTACAGGGCACCGAAGACTTGACTTAGCAGCGGATCCCTCCGGGCACCCCCCCCCCCCCCCAAACAGTTACACCATCCTGAATGGCCCTACTCTACTGAACAGGGTCCAACACTTCACTCAAAACCCCAACTTCTATTCCCGACCGAAGCTGAATCTAAACCCTAAACCCTCAACCCGGAGATATCCCAAGCCAAGGGCCTATCCAGCTAGGGTTTAGGGTTGAGGGTTGAGGGTTTAGGGTGTAGGGTTTAGGGTTTAGGGTTTAGAGTTTAGGGCTTAGGGTTTAGGGTCCTAGGCCTTCACGGTTCCGAGCACGTTGTTCTCCCCATCGCGGCCAGAAGTTCCAGCGTCCTGCTTCAAGAGGTCTGTGAGTCTACTTGGAGGTTCAGGGTACTTATAACCCCAATTTAATAAGTGTGCTTATAAGCCCCCGAAGTCCCCAAGTCCTCCAAGTAGAAGTAGGTTATAAGTAGACTTGCTTATATGAACCTCCAAGTAAGCCTCACGATAGCGCTGACCCCGAAAACCCTAAGCCCACACCTCAAAACGTAAGCATCTAAACCACTGCCTCCGCTAAGCGCTGCCCACTCGGGACCAGCTTGACATCCCACGCCCTAGCTACCTAGATATCCAGGTTCAGGGTTTAGGGTTTAGGTTTAGGATAAGGCGTATAGCTGTGAAGGTTAGGCCCTTGGAACACAAGCTCGACAGCTTCCCAAGGGGGGTCTGAGCACCAACGGCGAGGGTCCGGGACCCCTGGGCTGGGGCCCTCGGGGTAATTACCCCTGACCAGAAGGTTTCGGGTAATTTACGATATTAAAGGGACCAGTACTGGTCCCGAGGAGAACGGGTTCCAGTACCGGGCCCCACGTGGGTGCTTACGACCCCCGAGCTGTGGGAGGCGGGCGAACGACCTGGGTCGGCTTGCGGTATCGAGGTCGCAGGGCTTACGCCCTCTGTGGGCGGGGGGGGGGGGGCCTAGGCCCTGAGTTTAGGGTTTAGGCTGTAGGATTATGCGTTTTCTCTGCGCGCTGCGGCCATGCTAGTAGGGTAGCTACGGTTATAACTTCTCATGGGGGGGTACTTATAAACCCTACTTATCTTCACCTATGAACCTGCACGTAGCCCTAAACCCTAAGCCCTAGACCCTGAACCCTAAACCCTATAATATCCTATAATAAGGCCCGAGCGTCCCTGCAGTGCCTGTCGGGTTTGCTACCTGCCTAGCGGGGTCATGGGTTTAGTCTGTGTCTGCCTCTCGCGCTCTCTCTCTCCCTCCTTCCCTCCCTCCCTCCCTCCCTCCCCCCTATAAACCCCATAAACGAGCAAACCCTGTAGAACCTTGCAAACCCTGGACACCCCGCGAATGCCCATTACCCCCCTAACTCCCCCCTACAAACCCTATAACCCCCCACCCCCACCCCACCCCCGCCCACCAGAAGGCCCCAAACCCCAAACCCCAAACCCCAAACCCCAAACCCCAAACCCCAAACCCCAAACCCCAAACCCCAAACCCCAAACCCTAAACCCTAAACCCTAAACCCCAAAACTAAACCCCAAGCCCTAGACCCTAAGCCCTCAAGTGGCCTGGCGTCCCGCTCCCCGTCATAGTACCGACGCAATGCAGTGGCGAACTCGCCCTCTGCCTGGACCTGTGCCACCCCAAGGTGTTTAGGGTTTCGGGTTTAGGGTTTGGGGTTTAGGGTTTACATTCAGGGCCCATCAAGCTGAAGCTCACTCTGCGACCGGAATCCGGCTTGCAAACCTGGCCCCACAAATCATGCTTTTAAGCAACCTAAACCAGCTCAAGAGATGAGTTAGCCGTTCGGCAGCGCGGAAACTTGGCACGTCACTCATAGCGTTTTACTTCTCTGAAGCGCTAAGCTTCTATGAGACCACGTGGCACCCGCGTTCTTCTGCGCGGGAGCACACTGGGTTTCGGTGGGACCCGCGTTCTTCTGCGTGGGAATGCACTAAAAATCGGCGGGGCCCGCGTTCTTCTGCGTGGGACCGTACCGGGTCTCGGTGGGCCCCGCGTTCTTCTGCGTGGGACCGTACCGGGTCTCGGTGGGACCCGCGTTCTTCTGCGTGGGCCCGTACCGGGTCTCGGTAAACCCGTGTTCTTCTGCGTGGGACCGTGCCGGCTTCCGGCGGGACCCGCGTTCTTCTGCGTGGGACCGAACTGGGTTTCGGGGAGGCCCGCGTTCTTCTGCGTGGGACCGTGCCTGGTTTCGGTGGGACCCGCGTTCTTCTGCGTGGGACCGCGCTGGGTTTCGGTGGGACCCGCTAAATCCCTCCGTTCTTCTGCGTGGGACCGTACACCCCGTTTGGGTTTTACAAGGCTAATTAAGGAAAGGGGAGGGCCCCACTGGACCACTTTTTTCGTGTAGTTGTAGCGTTGTAGTCCAAGTGTCTGCCCAGCCGGTGCGTTGGTGTGTGGTCTGCAAAGCCCGGAGCGGGCTTGCCATATTGGTGGGCTTGCTTTTGGTGCCGCCAAACGGTCAACCGTCCGGCTTCAACAGGAGGGGCCCAAATAGTATCTCAAGAATGCCATCAGGCAAATAGCATGATCGAATTGTCTGCAAGAAGGGCTTCTGCAATGCCTGGCAATGTCACAGCAAGGTCCGTGCAAACATCTTGGATGCTACAGCACCATGAATTCTTGGCGGCAATGTGCCCGATTGGCATGCAAAATTCGCGGTTTCCGGCTTCGTTTTTGGGGCTGTTTTCTGGGCAGCTTTCTTCATGCCAGCAGCAGCCAGGGCACAGAATTTGCGGCCGCGCCGTGGGCGCAGTTTTGGAACCGCAGCATTTTCGTTTTTGGGGTCGTGCTTTTGGCTCCAAGTGTTTGTTTGTTTGTCGGGCTGCTTTGTCTTCCCACCCCGACGCCAGTTTTCGTCCCATTTTGGTGATCGGGTTTCCGGCCCGTTTGGCGGGCCCAAAAAACTGACCCAGGCACATTCAGGGCCCATCAAGCTGAAGCTCACTCTGCGACCGGAATCCGGCTTGCAAACCTGGCCCCACAAATCATGCTTTTCAGCAACCTAAACCAGCTCAAGAGATGAGTTAGCCGTTCGGCAGCGCGGAAACTTGGCACGTCACTCATAGCATTTTACTTCTCTGAAGCGCTAAGCTTCTATGAGACCACGTGGCACCCGCGTTCTTCTGCGCGGGAGCACACTGGGTTTCGGTGGGACCCGCGTTCTTCTGCGTGGGAATGCGCTAAAAATCGGCGGGGCCCGCGTTCTTCTGCGTGGGACCGTACCGGGTCTCGGTGGGCCCCGCGTTCTTCTGCGTGGGACCGTACCGGGTCTCGGTGGGACCCGCGTTCTTCTGCGTGGGCCCGTACCGGGTCTCGGTAAAACCCGTGTTCTTCTGCGTGGGACCGTGCCGGCTTCCGGCGGGACCCGCGTTCTTCTGCGTGGGACCGAACTGGGTTTCGGGGAGGCCCGCGTTCTTCTGCGTGGGACCGTGCCTGGTTTCGGTGGGACCCGCGTTCTTCTGCGTGGGACCGCGCTGGGTTTCGGTGGGACCCGCTAAATCCCTCCGTTCTTCTGCGTGGGACCGTACACCCCGTTTGGGTTTTACAAGGCTAATTGAGGAAAGGGGAGGGCCCCGCTGGACCACTTTTTTCGTGTAGTTGTAGCGTTGTAGTCCAAGTGTCTGCCCAGCCGGTGCGTTGGTGTGTGGTCTGTAAAGCCCGGAGCGGGCTTGCCATATTGGTGGGCTTGCTTTTGGTGCCGCCAAACGGTCAACCGTCCGGCTTCAACAGGAGGGGCCCAAATAGTAGGGTTTGGGGTTTAGGGTTTCAAGTTTAGGCTTTACTTGGAAGATTGTAACCGTGCTTATAAGCCCCCTGAGTCCCCTAAGTCCTTGAAGTAGGTTATGAGTGGGTTTAGGGCGTTTTTTGGCCACCCGCTCTGCACATGCCCAGCAGGGTTTACCTTTCGCAAAAAGGGTAGGTAGGTGAAGAGTTTAAGGGTGCCTATTCGTCCTCAGCCTTAACTGCAACCCCATCCTTCCAGGGACCTAGTTGTAGGGTCCTTGGCTCTGGTACCCCAAAGCATTCGGTCCCTGGAACCGAAAGGGTCCATGTACCCCTCTCTAGTAGATGCTTGGGCCTTCAAGGGGGTTCCCATGTCGTCGCTTTAGAGCCCGAGTATAGGGTTTAGGGTTTAGGGTTTGGGGTTTAGGGTTTAGGGTTTGGGGTTTAGGGTTTAGGGTTTAGGGTTTAGGGTTTAGGGACCCTTCCGGGAAGTAGAGGGCAAGACTCAGCAGGCCCTCGCCTGGTCAAAGAGCGTCAGCGAAGACCTGACATGCCATCTTCGCTCACAGCCGCCCCCCCCCCCCCCACCCCCCCCCCCCAAACCCCCCCCCCCCCAAAAAAAACATATATATATATATATATTATATATATGTAGACATATATATATATAGATATGCCTTAGTCAGCCCGAGGGGCAGCAGCTTCATGGAATCCACTTGCCCGAAGATCTGATTGGAGGTCTTTCCTGGCTTGGACCCAAGTCCAGGTGCTGGGGTTTTAGGTTTGCCAAGGAAAATGGTAGGGGTTTAGGGTTAGGGGTTTAGGGTTTAGGGCAATTGGTAGGGGTTTCAAAAACACTGCAGGGTTTAAGGGCTTTGTCGAGGGCCTGGTGGGAATTTAGGGCCTCGGCTGTAGGCCAAACAAATCTCATCGTTGCAGCTGCTGCCTCATGACCGAACGGGCGGTTAAAGCTCGTAGGACCTAAGAGTGCTGTCCGCATACAGCCGAATAGCAAGCCGTTTCGAGAGGAGATTGAGAAAGGATTTACGAACAGCCTGCCTAGTTTGAGACGATTTGATTCCAATGCCATGGTAGAATAAGGATGAAAAGTCCCTAAACCCTAACTCCTAAACCCTAAACCCCAACTAGCAGGACAACCCTATGGCCATTGTTGCAACTGGACTGTGCACGACTGCAAGCCCTGTTGCCCTAAACCCTAGTCCCAAAACCCGAAAACCCTAAACGTAGTTGCTGAGTTCACAAGCCCCCCAAAATGCACACTTTCAGTTCTATAGGGGATTCTAGTATCCAAAGAAGTGTAAGGTGTGCTTACTCAGCTCAGCTACTAAGTAAACCCTAAGCTCATGAACCCGACGTTCCCAGACCCACCAAAATACTAGGCTATAACACCCGAAATATACGGAACCCCCCAAAGTAGAAGGTAAATGGAACCTCAGGTAGGCTGTCAAACGCACTTGGAGGTTCAGGGTACGCATAACACCAATTAAAACTGTACTTAGAAAGCCCCCTATATAAGTCCCCCAAGTCCTCTAGGTAGACTTATAATTGGGTTTATAAGTACCCATATGAACCCCCTAAACCGTAAACCCTAAACCCTAGACCCTAGACCTTATAAACCCTAAACCCTAAACCCTAAACACCGCAGTGGGAGATCCCGCCTTCCACTTTCAGAATCTCCGCCACACACTCCCGCAGCCGGGGCCCCAGAATGGAATGGCCCAGGTAGGCCGAGGCCTGGAATGGGTTTAGGGTTTAGGGTTTAGGGTTTAGAGTTTAGAGTTTAGGGTTTAGGGTTTAGGGTTTAGGGTTCAGCGTTCGGGGTTTAGGGTTTAGGGTTTAGGGTTTCGGCTTTCGGGTTTAAGGGCCTATTCAACTCTGGTTCTGGGAGTTGCAAGGCCTTTGGAGTGAGAACCGAAAACTTCAATTTGCTTCACCTAGGCACGTTATATTCCCCTATACATATACATATACATGTATATGTATATATATATATACATATATATATATATATTATACATAAAACGAAAAATATGGGACCTACTTCCCTCATTCCTCCTACTTGTTTTTAAGATACCCTCAAAATGCACCTCGCTTGTACCAGGGTTTAGGGTTGAGGGCTTAGGGTTTAGGAAGCTTAGCTACTATTTGCTTAAAACCCCCCAAAAATGAAAATGATAACAAGTAGGATAATCAGAATAGAATGACAAAAGATGACAATCCCTATATTGTCCTTATAGAGAAGATTGTTGGTGGTGGTGGGGGGGGGGTTCTTAAACAAGTAGTAGTAAACCCTTTGGGCTTTCCTCGTCCAGCGAAGCAATCGAGTAGAAGCGCGCGATGTCGCTGCGCCCAAGGCCCGAGATCCTCAGCATCATGGGGCCGTTTCTTTGATAGGGAATGAGGGAATGAGGTACCCTATATGATCCCTTAAATAAATATATATACCTGACTAGGGAATAAGGAACCCCTCTAGAATCAATCCCTTAAGGGGTATACATAGGGCCCTAATTCCCTCATTCCCTACTAAGAACCAGGGGGATCATGGTTTATTGCTGGCTGGAGGAACCACTCCGCAGGCTTCTAGGTCGATTTAGGGTGCAGGGTGTAGATCTCTTTAAGGGTTCCTAAGAATGGCCCAGGGTTTCTACTTTTGGGATCCTTGAGCACAAAATCCAAGGTCGACGAGAAAGAGCACTCCGGGCTGTTGGGGTCTGAAGCTCAATTCAGCCAAGAATCTGAGGAAAGATAAACCACATCCAGTGATTCCGCTTCCTTTGCTGAAAGAAAGTCAAACTACCAACAGAAAAGCTTCTGCATGCTTTTGTGGCCGTGAGAACAATTGGAGCAGATGAGCCCTCATGAAGCCCACATCAAAGAACCCATTACCCCGTTACATATCCCGAAAGCCCCCATGCAACTGGAGCAACAACCCCTGGTTGCGGCTTTCATGCACCAATGCCGTGGGGACATGTCCCACGTTGAAGCTGCACAGCCCTGCCTGCTTCTTTGCAGCACAAAGGAAATACATATGCCATCCACCAGAAGCCCTGCAACTCAAATTCGTCACACGCCCTAGCCCCGAAACCGGAGAACAATGCCTAAACCCTATAAACCCCAAACCCTAATCCTTAAACCCCAAACCCTAAACCTTAAACCCTAAACCATAAACCCTAAACCTTAAACCCTAAACCCCAAACCCTAAACCTTAAACCCTATAAACCCTAAACCCTAAACCCCAAACCCTAAACCTTAAACCCTGAACCCTAAAGCAACCCCAGGCCTCCAAGCACAGCATATCGGGCCCGGCGTTGGCCCAAATTGGGGCCTTTGGGGCCTATTGGGGCCCCCTTAGTGCTGCAATGTATGTATTACTTCTACAAGACTTGCCGAACAGGGCCCCCTAAAACCTAAACCCTAAACCCTTTAAACGCTGAACCCTAACCCCTAAACCCTTAGATCCCATCCCCCCCCCCCCCCCCCATATCTGTCACGGCGACTGCCCGGCTCGCAATTCTTTGAGCACGCCCTGGTACACGGGCGCCTTGCGTGTGTGCAAGGCTATAGTCTAGGGTCCGAAGTCTGGGCCCTCACTTTAGGGACCCTATTACATTACCTCCATGTAATTACGCTTGATCTGTTAAGGGCCTATACTTCAGATCCCTATAAACAGGGGCAAGGGACCATTAGGGCCCCGTGGTTCAAACCGTAAATATCGGCTTCAAGGCTAAACCCTAAACCCTGAACCCTGAACCCTGAACCCTAAACCCTAAACCCTAAACCCTAAACCCTAAACCCTAAACCCGGGCTTCAGGGATTAGGGTGTCGACTTTCTTCATCTGAGGTTCAGGTCCTACTAGAGTTCATAGGGCTTCGCTGCCCTAAACCCTAAACCCTAAACCCTAAACCCTAAACCCTAAACCCTAGAAAGCCGTGCGCCTGGGCATCCACAAAGCGCTGGAGGTTGTACTTGTCCACGCTCGAGAAGCCAGCAACCTCGGGAGCAGCGTGCATTGCGTCCCTCAGGATGTCCTACGATGGCCCTTCGAAAAAAAAGGGTTTAGGGTTTAGGGTTTAGGGTTTAGGATTTAGGGTTTAGGGTTTCGGGTTTATATTCATGAACATGATTCTCTTAAAGTAAACCCAAGAAGGGACAATATGAAATGTTTAAAGGGCCTACCTAGTTTCCAAGGAACAGCTTTCAAAGCTAAACCCTACACCCTAAACCCTGAAACCTAAACCCTAAACCCTAAACTGGTGCTCAAAAAGGCATCCTGGGACCAGATGAGCCCGGAATGAATTGAGGGTCTGTTCTACTTTAACTCGGCCGTATGCTCCAAAGCACCTAGCCTCAACCGCAAGCTTCCAGAAAAGACTCCCGAGCTAAACCCAAAACCTAAACCCTTACTCAAAATAGCCCAACAACCTGCTGTAAGAAGGCCTTTTGGCCCAAGAAAAACATCTGAAATAAGCGGCCTGAGAGCCTCAGGGAAGGCCTATAAGCATATTTCCCTCAACCCTGAACTGCACCATTGTTGCGGGCCCTGCTTAAAGATGATCATTTTTATTCCTTACTAGGTCTAAGTATTATGCAACCAAATGCGAAATGATGGTTTACGATTTTTGGTGTCCAAAATTCGGGGTCCCTTATTATCGTAAACCCCAAATGATATTCAACAATGACCCAGTGAAAGCCTCCATGATCTTCTTACTCCTCCAATAGGCAAGGGGAAAACAGGTCAAACTTCATGCTTCCTACCAATTTTAAAAGGAAACCCAACAAGTTTAGGGTTTAAGGTTTAGGATTTAGGGTTTAAGGTTTAGGGTTTAGGGATTAAGGTTTAGGGCTTTGGGTTTAGGGTTTAAGGTTTCGGGTTTAGGGCTTAGGGTTTAGGACTGTTGGCGAAGTAAGTCTTCCGAGCGACTTGGCAGCGGACGGCCCAGCCAGCAGCTGCCAGCCCAATGAGCTGCCGCGCAAGTGCCTCGAAGGGGAGGAGGATCGGATTGGGGTTTAGGGTTTAGGGTTTAGGGTTTAGGGTTTAGGGTTTAGGGTTTAGGGTTTAGGGTTTAGGGTTTAGGGTTTAGGGTTTAGGGTTTAGGGTTTAGGGTTTGGAGTTTGGGGTTTGGGGTTTGGGGTTTGGGGTTTGGGGTTTGGGGTTTGGGGTTTGGGGTTCAGGGTTCAGGGTTGAGGGTTTAGGGTTTCGGGTACTTGGGGGCTTCGACTCTCGCACCTGGCAAGAACAGGCAAGGCTTCGGGAGGCTACAGCTCTCCTCACTTGTTCGGTTGAACCCTTCAACCCTAAACTCTAAACCTTAAACCCCAAACCCTTAACTTAGGACAACCCGAAACCCTTCAGGATCATAGAGGGACGTACAGTTTTCAGCTGATCAGGGCTTGGGGTCTGAAAGACTCGCTTCAATCCATAACCCGCTTAAGGGTCATATAAGAGTCAAAGGTGCAGGACCCAATTCCCCCAAAAAAGAGCCATATGTAGGGGAGATATAGGGTCCCTAAGTTCTTAAAAAGGTAATTGTCTAGGCCCAAGGGTCTAGGTTTAGGACTTAAGGCTTTACGGCAAGAGTAAGCAACAATGCCCTCATTTTTTTGGTTTTGGGCAAAAGACGGGAACCCCAAACCCTGAACGAATAAGGGCCTACTCCGGGTCCTGGCTTTTGGGAGGCCAGGCTTCGAAGGACTTCTGCATCAACGTTGCTCAAATCGGCTCATGACTTAGGGGTTCTGCAACTCGTGAGGGTTGGGGGGGTCCCTACGTCCCAAGCCCTCGAAACTCTTGGTATAGGGTTTACCTAAACCCTAAACCCTAAACCCTAAACCCTAAACCCTAAACCCTAAACCCTAAACCCTAAACTCCAAGCCCTAAGCCCTAAACCGTAAACTTTATAGTCCCGCAGCAACCATGACTTCGGCGCTCTGCTGAGCAGGGCTCTGACCTTGACGAGTCTGAACATTACCCAACACCCTACACCCCACAGGGTGTCCTTCTTTTGTTCCTAAAACGTGGTGCTGCAAGTCCACCTGGGGGGGGTTTTACTAGGGTTTACGAGAATGAGGGTTTAGGGTTTAGGGTCTCGGGTCATAATCATAATACAGACCCCAATAAGCCCCCCGAATATCGGAACCCCCCCCCCCCATCTGCTGCCGAAGGGGCTGGTCGCATCGTGAGCTTTCGAAGCAGGAGCTCGAGCTCAGCACCGTGATGGCATGGAAAGTCGCAATCTGAGTCTGCTAAACTGAGTGGTGCTTTGAAGCCGTTTGAACATTATTTTTGAATAGGTTGCCTTAAACGGGAAGAAGGGAAATTCAAAAATCATCCCAAAGCACAACGCGGAATAATAAGCTGTTTCAACAGATGGCTGCTGGTTTCGGATTCACGCTCCGATTTGACAAGTTAACGCCATGCGATGCGGTGAAGGGTTTCATCTTTCAGAATCAGAGACATCGCAGCTGTAGCCTGAAACCTCGCGGCCCTTCCACGACTCTTCTGCAACTCCACGCGTGTAAGCTGCTTTGAGGCACAAAAGCACAAGCTCAGCCAGCCCAGTCTGCAACACTTCGGCTCTCACACTCGAACAAGGCAGGCAGCAAGGAATCGGTCGGTCTCACAACCAGTGCCTATTTTTCCACTGGAGGATTATCTTGCTTCAGCAGCTGCTGCGCGACAGTACCTTGAAATCTTTGGCAGCATCCTTCAATACCAGGAGACAGCGCTCATTCCGATCACTGCCGCAGGTCGTAAAGAGCAAACCGCAGTTGGGTGAGCTCGCGACACTATCTTAGGGGCTGAATACCCTAGCCCAAAAAGGCTTCACCTTTTATTTGTGATAGGATTATATATATATATATATATATATCCAAAAAGGGTTAAAGGTTAACTATCCAGCCCCTAAGCTATAGAAAGGTTCCTGTGACAAGATGGACTCCGAGCTTGCGCAATTGCCGCATGATGCTTGGCTGCAATGAGCTACTCCAACTCTACACAGGGCCGTTTTAAGGGGCTGATAGGGTAGAAAAGCCCATGCTGGTATAGCCGTCACTCTAGAACACCCTGCTAGAACAGTGCAGCGACGGCGTGCAGCAATGGACCCTTGCTCATTCTGTGGCAAATCAAGTCGTCAGCCTCAGACGCTGTTCTCCGAGGCGACATTCTGTGCTGAAACTCGCGCACGGCGCTTCCTAACACTAAGGGGAACGGTCGGGCCCAAATAGCATACCCTGGACTCTTCTTTATTATGGGAACAGCGGCCTTCAAGGCCAAGGGAGCCCCCTCAGTATAGGAAACGGGTGGCTCACTTCGAAACTGAGAGATTGCCGGCACGGTCCATGGGTGTGCCATCGACAAGATAGCCCACATCCTCAGTTCTTACAATAAGGGGGCACCCTTTTTGGGGTTGGTTACTTGAAGCGGGAACCTTGAACCCCTAAACCCTAAACCCTAAACCCTAAACCCTGAACCCTAAACCCTAAACCCTAAACCCTCATAAGCCCTAATTGACCCCGAAACCGCCACTGGGATGCCAAGCATCGGCAGCGTAGGTGGATGCTGGTAGGGCCGAGCCGGGCGTGTGCGTGTCGGGCTGGATGCGTTCCTATACTGAATTTGAGAGTTTAAGGTTTAGGGTTTAGGGTACTGAACTTGGAACCCCTAGCAAAAAAAAAAACATAACTTTAGCTGTTTCTTAGGAAGTAAAGTGCCCTAAAAAATCATAATTTAGCTGTTTCTTAGGCACTAAAGTGCCCAAAAAAATCACAATTTTAGCTGTTTCTTTGGAATTAGAGCCCCCAAAAGAACAAAAATGTTGCCAAACATCCCCGAGGTTCCGGATGATTCATGGCATTACCCGCCTTGTTCAATGGGGTCCCATCCTGGGATGGCCCTTAAAACAATCTGAAAACTATTGGGGTCAGGGTTAGGGTTTAGTGTTTAGGGTTTAGGGTTTGGGGTTTAGGGTTTAGGGATAGTCCTGGAGATGATCCTCCTTAAACCCAAGAAGGGAAAATACAAAATGTATGTTAGGTGCCTGCCTAGCATCCGGCAGGTAGCCCACGTCATTCACGAAGTTGGCTCGAGGAAGCGGAGATCCTGGAGCGTGGCGGTCAGGCTGGATGGTTTCTGGATGGTTGATGGCATTGCCGGCGCGGTTAATGGGCGTTCCATCTGGCAGATAGCCCGTGTCGTTGCTGTAGTCCAGGTCCGCATAGGCATCCTTCATGGGCTAGTATACCCTACAACACCCTCAAAAAGGCCCTTAATAGGCTAGTATACCCTCTAACCCCTCTAAACAGGCCCTTTATAGGGTTGGCTAGGGATTCTCTAAGGCCTAATAGCCCATGCTGGTAGGCATCCTTCTGAAAGCCATAGGCGAAGCCCACACTGTGGCGCACGTTTCTGACAGCTTGGGCAGAGCCAACGAAGGCCGCCGCAGCCACTGGGCCCGGCGCAGCTGGCGAGGTTTGCTCGGCTTCCGCAGCGAACTTCACGGAGTTGTTCCCGGCAGTCTCCAAAGGAGTGCCGTCCACCAGGTAGCCCACGTCAGCCGCGTACACGGAAGATGGCAAGGGTGATCCTGGTGTGTGCGGATCGGGCTGCATCGATTCGGGGTGGTTGATGGCATTGCCAGCGGCATTCAACGGGGTGCCATCCGGCAGGTAGCCGACCGAGTTCATGAAGTTGGCCCTTGGCAATGGAGATCCTGGAGCGTGCTTGTCTGGGCCAATGCTTTCAGGATGGTTGATCGCATTCCCTGCCCTGTTGAGCGCGGTGCCATCAGGCAAGTAGCCGACATCGTTGCTGAACTCCAACTCAGCGTAGACATCTTTCTGGAAGCTGTACTCGAACTTCCTCCCATGCATAGCCACGGTGGGTCCAGCTGGCGCAGCTAGTGCAGCTGCTGTTGGAGCGGGCATTGTTGCGGGAGCACTGGAACCCACGAACGCAGCCGCCGCCGCGGCAGGCGGAGATGCTGGCATGTCCTTCACGGAGTTGTTCCCGGCAGTCTCCAAAGGAGTGCCGTCCACGAGGTAGCCCACGTCAGCCGCGTACACGGAAGTTGGCAAGGGTGATCCTGGTGTGTGCGGATCGGGCTGCATCGATTCGGGGTGGTTGATGGCATTGCCAGCGGCATTCAACGGGGTGCCATCCGGCAGGTAGCCGACCGAGTTCATGAAGTTGGCCCTTGGCAATGGAGATCCTGGAGCGTGCTTGTCTGGGCCAATGCTTTCAGGATGGTTGATCGCATTCCCTGCCCTGTTGAGCGCGGTGCCATCAGGCAAGTAGCCGACATCGTTGCTGAACTCCAACTCAGCGTAGACATCTTTCTGGAAGCTGTACTCGAACTTCCTCCCATGCATAGCCACGGTGGGTCCAGCTGGCGCAGCTAGTGCAGCTGCTGTTGGAGCGGGCATTGTTGCGGGAGCACTGGAACCCACGAACGCAGCCGCCGCCGCGGCAGGCGGAGATGCTGGCATGTCCTTCACGGAGTTGTTCCCGGCAGTCTCCAAAGGAGTGCCGTCCACGAGGTAGCCCACGTCAGCCGCGTACACGGAAGTTGGCAAGGGTGATCCTGGTGTGTGCGGATCGGGCTGCATCGATTCGGGGTGGTTGATGGCATTGCCAGCGGCATTCAACGGGGTGCCATCCGGCAGGTAGCCGACCGAGTTCATGAAGTTGGCCCTTGGCAATGGAGATCCTGGAGCGTGCTTGTCTGGGCCAATGCTTTCAGGATGGTTGATCGCATTCCCTGCCCTGTTGAGCGCAGTGCCATCAGGCAAGTAGCCGACATCGTTGCTGAACTCCAACTCAGCGTAGACATCTTTCTGGAAGCTGTACTCGAACTTCCTCCCATGCATAGCCACGGTGGGTCCAGCTGGCGCAGCTGGTGCAGCTGCTGTTGGAGCAGGCATTGTGGCGGGAGCACTGGAACTGGAACCCACGAACGCAGCTGCCGCCGCGGCAGGCGGAGATGCTGGCACGTCCTTCACGGAGTTGTTCCCGGCAGTCTCCAAAGGAGTGCCGTCCGCGAGGTAGCCCACATCAGCCACGTAGGAGGAGGATGGCAGTGGGGAACCTGCGACATGCGAATCGGGCTGCATCGATTCGGGGTGGTTGATGGCATTGCCAGCGGCGTTCAACGGAGTGCCATCCGGCAGGTAGCCGACCGAGTTTACGAAGTTTGCTCGGGGCAACGGGGATCCAGCAATGTGACGGTCCGCAGCGATGGTCTCTGGATGGTTCACCGCATTTCCGGCTTTGTTGAGAGGGGTTCCATCTGGAAGGTAGCCAACATCGTTGACAAACTCCAGGTCCGCGTAAACATTCTTCTGGAAAGCATACCTGTGACTCCCAAACCCTACCAAAAAAGCAGATTCTAACTCCCACGCTAAACATTAAAATTGGGCCTAACCCCCCCCCCCCCCCCCAAAAAAAAAAAAAAAAAAAATCGTAGGTCCATGGAGCCCCAGGTACTCTGAGACTGCATCCTTGCGGGCAACCTTGGTTGCCTTCTTGAGGGCGCGCGCGCGCCCGGAGACAAGCGTGGCCACCACGATTCCGGCGCAGGCGGCAGGCCAGGTGGTATTGAATTTGGCTCCTGGGGTTTAGGGTTTAGGGTTTAGGGTTTAGGGTTTAGGGTTTAGGGTTTAGGGGTTAGGGTTTAGGGTGGTATTGAGTTTGGCTCCTGGCGCCGGGTGCGCACCTGGGATGGCTCTTGAAACCCCTGAAAAAATATTGGGGTTTAGGGTTTATAGGGTTTATAGGGTTTATAGGGTTTATAGGGTTTAGGGTTTAGGGTTTAGGGTTTAGGGTTTAGGGTTTAGGGGTATTCCTGAATATGATCCTCTTAAACCCACGAAGGGAAAATACAGAATCTCCCAAGAGCCTACCTAAGCACTCACCACCTGAGCAGCAACGCTCTGGCGGGCCACAGTTGTCGATGGAGGTGCAAGGACGAATGCCTCAGAGCTACCGGAAAGGTCGGCCAATCCGCGCAACACCATGGCTGCAGACTCCAGAGACATTCTTCCGCTACCTGCCTCACAAGAGATCCTCCTCGACTCGGAACGACTTCGCCCTGACAAAATGCTTGAGCCAGGGTTTAGCCCGCAAGAGGCCTGACTCTGCAGAACCGACGCGATCAACGACTCTCTGCTGCAAACGCCCGTTCCCCCCCCCCACCCCACCCACGAGACACACCGAAAAGCCAACTTCTTGCGACACCCTATACTAGTTCATGCTTGGGATAGTATTCAACATCTAAATTTCTATTCCTTATTGGATTTAAGTACCCTGAAAAATGCAAAATGTTACCCACTATGACAAAGTAGAAATGCCCGACAAGCCTGGATCCCCAGCACAGCTGGCAACAGCAGTCCTCTGTGAACTCGATGTCCCTCTTGTGCAAAGTCTTGACTAAACTTTGACGGATCTGGGCACGCGCCGGAAAGTTCCGGATTCATGGGGTTTACAGGTTTTAATAGGGTTTGCATTAGTTCATATGGGGTTTATATAGGGTTCACAGGATCTTAGGGGTGCAGGGTCTCAAGTGAATCCGACTCGGTCTTGGTCCCTATCTGCAAACGGGCCCAGGGTCTACCTCGAGTAGCCTGTACGCCCTTCTCTACAAGTACTTGGACATTCAGGGGTACTTAGAAGTGGGGTTATACTTACCCTAAACATGGTTGTTATAACCATAGTTACCCTACTTGTAGCCATACATATAAGTACCCATGAGCCTCCAAGTGATGGGGTTGATGTTCCATGAAGGTAACAAGCTGCTTTTAGGCTTAACCATGTCCAACCAAGATCTTGTGAAATCCCTCTCTACCAATTGCTTAAGAAACCCCCAAAAATAAAACACATTCTTCCTTATAAGGGTAATGGAGGGATGGTGTTTTTTTGCAGCTTATTATTATTATTATTAATATATATATATATATATATATATATTTATTTATTTATTTATTTATATATATATTTTTTTTTTTTTTTTTTTTGGGGGGGGGGGGGGTGGGGGGTTCTTAAACAAATAGTAGCTCTGGTCCGTACTGCATGAGACAGCCTGGCCCTTCCCCAGTCGGCGGTCTCTCAGAAGAGACACGCAAGGCGTGTCGATGATAGCTCTGTGCAGAGACTGTTGATATGGTGATAAGTAGGGTAACTATATGCCTACAAGTATGGTACCCCTTACCGGGAGGTTCATGGGTACTTTTAAGCATGGTCAGAAGCAGGGTGCCTATATGGTCACAAACCCTATTTAGGGTACTTCGAACCCTACTCATAAGCACCCTAAGTAGGGTAACTATATGGTTAAAAATTTATAAACCCCAATTTTTGTACTTAAAACCCTACTTATCAGCACCCCTGAACTTTCTAGCAGCTGCTAGAACCGCCGGAGTGCCGACGGCAAGAACCAGCTGTGTGCCTGAACCAAGCCAAACGCAGAAAACACGTCGAACATCACAGGGTGCCTGCATTTGTTGGGTTCCTGGGGGGTTTAGGGTTTAGGGTTTAGGGTTTCTGCTGCGTTTAGGGTTTAGGGTTTAGGGTTTAGGGTTTAGGGTTTAGGGTTCAGGGTTAAGGAGGGTAACTATGTTTAACCCTGGGAGGTGCCTGGAATCGAACATGACGGGGTGCCTGCATTTTTTTGGGTTCCTGGGTACATTTTTACGTCGGGAAACTATGCTTAAAACCTTTGGGTAACCCATAACGCTACTTTTGTGATACACATGAACCTCCAAGCAAGAATCTTGGAAGGCGCCTCGGGTTTAGGGTTCAGGGTTCAGGGTTTAGGCTTTAGGGCCTGGAATGACAGTGTGTCAAGTAAGCTGCCCCAGAAAGACACCCAGAACGACATGCCGCACACGCGTCGGTTGAGGTGCCCACAAGATTGGCGTTGCAATCGTCTTCGGATTCAAAGCCATACCGCCTGAGTCTGCTACTATAGGGGTCGGAGTAACTGCTAGTCGTATTCCCTTGGGGTCCCTTCGTCATTATACTACAATAACCCCTATACCCTATTCTCATTATTCAGGCCCCTATATTGATTGTCAATTTGACGGAGCTCACATGGACCTGTATATATTTATTGGAGCGGCGACAGCTCTGGTTAACTTCACTCCAAGCTTCCTATCTGAGAGGAGAGAAGGTAGCCATATACCCTGGTTCAAACAGGATGGACGCATGAACCATGCAGTATGTTCATGAATGCAACCTGGTCCAAAAGGTAATAGTTGCACTTTTCACGCATGGAATGGCATGGACATGGACATTGAACCCAGACAAACAGATTCACCGTCGGAGGAAGCCTTTTTGCTTGGCGCGATGAAACCCGAAACCCGAAACCCGAAACTCGAAGCCCTGAACATTGCTGTTGAGGCTTGGCTTTGCTTCGAACCAACACTGCGCAAAGCAATTCTTCAGACACCTCCCACACTCCGTGCGACGACGGCTTTTACTCTTAGTTGCTGAGTTTATAAGCCCGAAACAAGTGTACACTTTCAGTTCTAGAGGGGATTGTAGTATCCCAAAAAGTGTAAGGTGTGCTCACTCAGCTACTAAGTACTGACAAAAACCTCAGGGACCAAACGAACCCAAAAAAAGGGATTATGGTTCATATACCTTACTACTTGTAGGAATTGTAGTAGTATAGAGTATATGACCCCAATTTTAGGGTTCACAGGGTTTATGGTTCATACACGTTAGTAGGAATTACGGCGGTATAGGGCATATGACCCCCGAATTTCAGGGTTCATTTGGTCCCCAGGAAGATAGCAGGAACGCACACCATTTGAGGGCCCGACTCGTCCAGCAGGAAGATGCGCACACGCTTCCAGTCCTGGGTTCAGGGTACAGGGTAGCAGGGTATTCGGGACTAGGGGATTAGGGTATTAGGGTATTAGGGTATTAGGGCATTAGGGTACTATAGGGTATTAGGGTACTAGGGTATTAGGGTATTCGGGTATTAGGGTATTAGGGTTACCGTCTTTTGCTCTTCTGTGTGCATTAGATTCCTGAAGAACCCAAAGCCTACATTTTTTGTAGGTAACCTCGGGCCTGCGAATCCTACAAGGAGTCAAAAATTTTGAGAACCTACAAAAGTAGGTTTTGGGCTCTTAAGGTAAGGGCGTCAGGAAATTGCACACTCCCACACTGGGTATTTTTTGAAAGACGTTCAAACCTAAAAGTCCCATAAGCCCTACAAAATCCTAAAAGCTCTAAAGACCCTAGAAACCCTATGAATCCTATAAACCAGGGTTTAGGGTTTAGGGTTTAGGGTTAAACCATATAATCCCGAAACCGCGGACCTTTCGCCCTGCTTTCAGTGTGAGCTGACATAGCCGCCATCAAGAAGCAATCTTCCGCCCCCTAGACCCCTCTGAGCGCAACACCCTAAAAACTAAGGTTTAGGGTGTAGGGTTTAGGGTTTAGGGTTTAGGGTTAAACCCCATGAACTCAACCCTAAATCCCAATACCCCTAATACCCTGAGTACTCGACAGGCAGCCTAGGCATATTTCAATGGCACCCTTGTGGGCTTAAATGTGTTTCGGGCTTTAGGGCCTTTAGGGTTTAGGGCTTAGGGTTTTAGGGTTGAGGGTTTTAGGGCTTAGGGTTTTAGGGTTTTAAGGTTTAGGGTTTTAGGGTTTAGGGCTTAGGGTTTTAGGGTTTAGGGCTTTGGGGTTTCAGGGTTTTAAGGCTTCATAAGGGGAACCCAGGCCTCTCCTACAGACCTAGATCTGATGAACCAGTGCTCCCGTCAGGTGTACTGAGGCTTCGGTGTTTTTGCTTTTTTCGGTTTCGGGTTTAGGATTTAAGGTTAAGGTACTGAGGCTTAATTGTTTTTTGCTTTTTCGGTGTCGGGTTTAGGATTTAAGGCTAAGGTTTAGGGCCAGTTTGGGGTTTTAAACGGTTACAGGGGGGGCGGGGGTGCCTGAGAACCTGGCTATGACTGGCTCGGTCCACAGCGCGAGGGCCGAGAAGACCTGCCATCGGCTACAAGGGACAGACCCTATATTTAGGGTTTAGGGTTTAGGGTTTATAACCCTCAAAGAATCTTCTGCGGGCCTATATATGGGGTATTCCAAAGAACCCAATTCCCCTTAAATTATTTCACCCCCCCCCCCCCCCCCCCCCCACTGCGGCAAACCATGGAATCGCTGCTTTCCAGGTAGTCGCACACACAGAACCGGGAGGTTGGACCAAATCAAAGCTTTGCAAACCCTAAACCCTCAACCCTAAACCTGCTTGATAAATCGCAGTCGCCCTGTTGCAGCGGTCGTTGCGCTGCTCCCTCTGTGAAAGTCGCCCTACACCCTGCCCCTTAGGGTTTAGGGCTTAGGGTATTCAAGCCCCAATCCCCCTAGCCTTCACACATAAGCCGCGTTGCAAAACTTCGAGTCTCCCCCGAAAATCTCCGACCAACCGCCCCACCACTGGCATCCGGTTTAGGGTTTAGGGTTTAGGGTTTTCTTTGGCTTCGACTGTCAAAAACACCGGGAACTCCCACCTCCCTGGCACGGCTTCTTCGGGAATGCCCGTTCCTGAAACGAATGTGGGTGTTTGCACAAATCGGTGTTTATTTTGGGCTAGCTATAACCAGGCTTCTTCGGGTTTGGGGACATGCCCATGCCTTGTTTGGGCTAAGGGTTCAGGGTAACCCTAAACCCTAAACCCTAACCCCGTAACGTTCGAAGCTCGGTTGGCTTTACAGGGCTTCGAGATTTGGGAAGGAGGGGGGGGGGGGGGGGGGGGAACCACCGCCAGAAACCGCGAACTCAAACATGAAGAAGCTCGAGTTGCGCCTTTCATGGGTTTTCATGGTTTGTATATGGTCAGCTCTCTACATTAGGGGTCCCTTTTTGGGGGTACCCTCAATACTAGGGACCCTAAACCCTAAACCCTAAACCCTAAACCCTAAACCCTAAACCCTAAACCGATAGGATTTGAGAAAAGAAAAGGGGGAGGGAAGGATGAAGCCTAGGGGCTGCCACCTCACTGGTCTAGGGCCTCAGGCTTCATCAGGGTGGAGGAGTTCAAGGTTTAGGGTTTAGGGTTTAGGGTTTAGGGTTTAGGGTTTAGGGTTGAGGGTTGAGGGTTGAAGGTTTAGGGTTGGGGGGTTAGGATAGCCCCCCCTCCCCTCGCCCTTTTCCAGGGTTTGAGGAGGCTTGGCAGCTGCTTTTGTGACGGACCACCCAAGAAGAGCCAAAAAGACCGCTTAACGACGGAATTGTATGGGCGTTGGCCTGTCGTGGTATCCCCTAAACCCTAAACCCTAAACCCTAAACCCTAAATCCCTCTCAGAAACTCTCAGACCCCAAGTCCCCCCCAAAACCCTCTGAAGACGGCGCTGAGCTCCCGTGCGAGCCGGAGATGCCAATGATGCAGTTGGAGGAGTTGTTTTTCTGATACCTGCTTCTAGGATGCCGGTTTGGGTTTAGGGTTTAGGGTTTAGGGTTTAGGGTTTAGGGTTCAGCATCTCAAGTTCGAGCATTTACTAGGCCAGCAGTGTGTGTAGGCAACGGAAAAAAACCCACCCACCCAGAGAATCCCAAAACATTAAGAAAATAAACAGTTTACATTTCTCATCAGCAAGCCCTGTCCTCCTACCCACGAACCATTTCATCGGCCCCCATAAAAGGGCGGGACTTCGAAATCCTGAAGCCGGTGAAGGCTCGGGTTTGGTCAAAAATCCAGAAAACGAGAGACCACCCAGAGCCGTCGATTTCAGTACTAAAAAATCGCATTTTTACCTGGACCCGGGCCGATCCTGGGGTCCCCTTCATTTGGGGTGTTTTTGGAGGCAAACTTTCCCTCTCAAGGGGGGGTCGGAGTTTGAGGCAAGGGGGGTCTCCGAAGACTATTTTGCCTTTAAAATTGAAAAATACGACCCCCCTTGACCAAAACTAGGCTGTGAAAAGGTCGCGGGGGTTGCCCTTCATCAGAATTGAGGGTTACAAACCCTGAAACATCCTGAAAAACATTGAAAAACCTTAAAAAACACTGAAAAATTCTGAAAAACCTTGACAAACCATGAAAAACTTGAAATTCTGAAGCCGGTGAAGGCTCGGTTTGGTCAAAAATCCAGAAAATGAGAGGCCACCCAGAACCGTCGATTTTAGTACTAAAAAATCGCATTTTTACCTGGGACCCGGGCCGATCCTGGGGTCCCCCCTCATTTGGGGTGTTTTTGGAGGCAAACTTTCCCTCTCAAGGGGGGGTCGGAGTTTTGAGCAAGGGGGGTCTCCGAATACTAAAATGCTTTGAAAATGGAAAAATACGACCCCCCCTTGACCAAAACTAGGCTGTGAAAAGGTCGCGGGGGTGGCCCTTCATCAGAATTGCGGGTTACAAACCCTGAAACATCCTGAAAAACATTGAAAAACCTTAAAAAACACTGAAAAATTCTGAAAAACCTTGACAAACCGTGAAAAACTTGAAATTCTGAAGCCGGCGAAGGCTCGGTTTGGTCAAAAATCCAGAAAATGAGAAGCCACCCAGAACCGTCGATTTCAGTACTAAAAAATCGCATTTTTACCTGGGACCCGGGCTGATCCTGGGGTCCCCCTCATTTGGGGTGTTTTTGGAGGCAAACTTTCCCTCTCAAGGGGGGGTCGGAGTTTTGAGCAAGGGGGGTCTCCGAATACTAAATTGCTTTGAAAATGGAAAAATACGACCCCCGCTTGACCAAAATTAGGCTGTGAAAAGGTCGCGGGGGCGGCCCTTCATCAGAATTGAGGGTTACAAACCCTGAAACACCCTGAAAAACATTGAAAAACCTTGAAAAACACTGAAAAACTCTGAGAAAGCTTGAAAAACCTTGAAAAAGCCAAGGCCCGCGCGCGGGGGCCAGGACAAGGCCGAACCCTTGCGTGCCCAACAGGGCCGGTCGATTTTCTGACTATAGGGTTTAAATATATATATATAGGTAAGAGAGGTTTAGGGTTTAGGGATTAGGGTTTAGGGTTGAGGGTTCAGGGTTTAGATCTTAGGGTTCAGGGCGCGGGCCGTCCAGCGAGCTGCCTCACAGGTCATCTGCGCCCCGTGAACAACGCCCCCCCCCCCCCGGGCTATAATATCAAGACTGCTGTAGGGAATGCTTTATTCCATCACCCTAAACCCAACCCTAAACCCTAAACCCTAAACCCTAAACCCTAAACCCTAAACCCTAAACCCTCCCGCACCACCCCCCCCTTTATAAACTAAGAGCGGCCTACATGGCACTTTCCCAGAAGACGGGACCGTCAGGGGCAAGACCTGGGATTTGACTCGGAGGATTTGGAATTCGGGTCCCTTTTGGGGTTACCTACGACAAGGCGTCCCCTGATATTTAGGGCACCCCCCAAAAATTAGGGACCATAGTTTACAAACCTAGGAATGAAAAGGGATGATAAGGGCGCCCCTACCCTAGAAAAAGGGAACCAAGGCCTACTGTGGGTCCCAGCTTCAGAACTCTAAGGGTCCATGTACTTACATAGGGAGTACTTGGGCCTTAAAGCACCTCCTATATAGGGACTTTTGGGCCCAAGTATAATTATTAGGTACATGGACCCTTGGGGGAACTCACCATCCAGGGGTTTCGGCCCTACGCGGCTCTGACGGCCTGACAATCTGCTCGGCAAAGTGCTTGGCCAACTTCTCCTGCAGGTCCTGGTCCCAGGTTTCGAGCATTCCCTGAAGAACCCTTTTCTTGAAGCCTAAACCCTAAACCCCTTACCCTAAAGCCTAAGCAGTTTTATTTTATAGGGTTTAGGGTTTAGGGTTTAACCATAGTTCCAGGGAGTAAGTCGCACTTGGCCTGTTTACTTGGAGGTTCATGGATACTTACAAAAGTGGGGATATAAGAAGGTGGATAAAGTTTGGGGATGTCACATCCCCCCATTCTCCGTGTCGCAGGAGAAGCCTCCTCAAGACCAAACATCAGAAGCCTTTCCTGCCTTCTCCGTGAACGCGATGATCCGCAAGCCATCCATGGCGGGAGCTTACCAAACACAGCCGTATACCTTTAAGAAAGTCTAGGGATTTAGGAGGCGCCGTGCATGCCCAGCGACTTTGTTGCAAACCTCAAACCTCAAAACCTAATTAGACCCTAAGCCCCCTAAACCCTAAGCCCTAAACCATAAACCCCAAACCCTAAGCCCTAAACCCTAAACGTATAAAGAACCCTCTTTACAGCTCCCGGCTTTCTCGGTATTGGGGTATAGCTACCAACTTCTCCACCCCTTTCGAACCCCCACCCTCTTGGGCCTTGGGCCAAGGGTGCAGTGTGCCGGTCGCTACGCATGAAAAAAAAGCAATAGGAGCCTACTCTGGGTCCTAGACTTAGTTGTCCAGTACCCAGGGGTTTTAAAGGTTAACCTTTGGGATTATAAGGGGAATATATTAACCCAAAAAGGTTAAAGGTTACCTACTCTACTACTAAGTAGATAGTCACCCTCCCAGGATGGTCTGTTCGGCCCGATAGTCCCCATAGTCATAGACGGTATGCTGCTTCGGGATGAAGCTCACGCCTGAAAGACTGAACGATGCAGTGCGCACAGCAGGGACTACTGCGGGACGACGCCGTACTTGGAGGTTCATGGGTACTTAATAAGCAGGGTTAGAAGTGCCGTAAGTGAGGTTATAACTACGTATACCCCTACTTATAAGCAACCATGTGAACCTCCACGTGCTTGGGGCCACTGCTGCACCGCATACTTCTTTTGCCGGCTGCCCTGGGATAGCTGCGAAGGCAGGTCTTCTGCCACTGAAACTCTGAACTCGGCAGCTCCCTCTCCCGAATCCCATAGCTTCCAGGACAATGCTTGAACACAGCTTTGGGTGCTTGTAACCCTACTTGTAAGTACTGGTGAACCTCGAAGTAGGGTTTAGAGTTTCAGGGAAATTCCCTTACAAAGACAGAACAGGCCTCAAGAATGAGCCTGGTTTAGTTTGCAGAGCGGTTCCCACACTTTCATGATCTTTAAACGTGGGCAATGGCCATGACTCCGAAAGTTGGAGCATGGTGTAAGGATGAGTAGAGCTGGGATTCCCTTTTGGAGTTTACACCCTAAACCCCAAACCCTAAAAACGCGAATCCCTAAACCCTAAACCCTAAACCCATTGAAGTGTCCTGGGGCCCTCGGGGAGGAGTTGTGGGAGCCAGCGCCTCGTCACTTTGTCACTTGGGCGTTCTGGACTTGCTCCTGGCATACCCAAATTTTGAAGGTTTAGGGTTTAGGGTTATAGGGGTTCATGGTTTTGGGTTGGGGCTTGGGGTTCGGGATGTTGGGTTTGGGGTGTATAGGGCTCAGGGCTCAGGATTTGGGGTTCAGGGCTTAGGGTTCGGGATTTTGGGTTCAGGGTTCAGGACTGAGGCTTGGGGGCTCAGGGGTGTAGACAGGGCTTAGGGTCCAGGATTAAGGGCCACAACTTTTCAACCCTCAATCCTGAACACTAAACCCTAAACCCTAAACCCTAAACCCTGAACCCTAAACCCTAAACCCTAAACCACGCGACGCTTGGGCTCCTCGGGTCAGTTACTCATCGAGAGCGTCGGAGCTGATCCTGCTTGATGGCATCCTGAGCCAGGAATTCGGGGTTTAAACGGCACATCGGAGGCTTTAAGGATGCGTGGTCTGAAGCACCCAGAGAACCCTAAAACCTAAACCCTAAACCCGAAATCCTAAACCCTAAACCCTAAACCCTAACCCATCTGGGCTCCCAAGGTATATCTAGGGGCGTTTGAACAACCAAGCCCGGGGACTCGACAGCCAACAAGCGGAAAACTGTCACAACACCGCCGCATGCTCCACACACATACATATGGAGCGTACATATGTATGTAGATAGATAGATAGATAGATATATATATATATATATATATATATATATATATACATATAGGGGTTTATGCAAACATGTGACCCCTTATATACACCCAAATAGTAGGATTCCCTTATAAGAAGGAGCCCAATGAGGTACCCCTAAGATTGGGGGGGGGGGGGGGGGGGGGGGTGGCGGAGTCTTTCTGGTTTAAGGGCTTACAGTTTTTGAGTTGTTTTTGGGTTTAATGTGGGGTTTTGGGGGGGTTTTGGGCTCAAGGTGCAAACATGTGGCGTGCGAGTCTCATCCACACCCTTCAGACTCAGGACCAGGCCATGGCAAAGAAGAGATCGTCCGTGAGAACCGTGTCCTGCTGAATGCCCAGAGAACCACCAATAGGGTTTAGGGTTTAGGGTTTAGGGTTTAGGGTTTAGGGTTTGGGGAAGAAACTTAGTTCGGAGCCACAAAGTGACCTAACTAGATTCCAGACCTATTCACAGGTTTCCCAAACGCCCCGAAAGCTTAAAGTCCTGAATCGCCATGCCCACAGGGTTCAATGTACCTATATTGGTTTAGGGTTTAGGGTTTAGGGGCCTTAAGGGGGGCCCTACAGGGATTCTATGCTATTTGGGGTTGTCATAGTAGAATTATAAAAGGGGCCAGGAGGGAAATGATTAGTAATTATTCCGACCCCTATTACCACTGGCGGTCCTTGGTCAAGGGTATAGATTGCACAGATTCATTCTGGCTCATTACTCACACAGGTGTGCACAGGGAGTGTGCAAGATCAGCTGGCGCGTGCCCTTCACATGGACTACGGGCTACAGGCCCTTGATACACCCAACCCTATCGCAAACCCCACGCTCTGAACACCCTGACCTCTGTTCCCCACACGCTGAATCCTAGATAGACAGTACACACGGAAACCCAACCCTAAACCCGAAACCCCAAACTTGGCCCTAAACCCTAAACCCTAAACCCTAAACCCTAAACCCTAAACCCTAAGCCCTAAGCCCTAAGCCCTAAGCCCGAAGCCCTAAACCCTAAACCCTAAACCCAAGCGGGGCGTCCAGCATGTTAAAAGTCTGGACCGAGTTGAGCTCAAGGCAGTAGGTGGTCTTCTGAGGGCCGGTGGGCCTTGATAGGATTTAGGGTTTAGGGTTTAGGGTTTAGGGTTCAGGGTTCAGGGTTCAGGGTTTAGGGTTTTTTGCTGGCCGCCAAGCAAAATGGCTAAACTGCAGGGCAAACAATTTCGGGATGAAAGAGAGAAGACTTTTGGCAATTACTGCCCAAGCAGGACACAAGCAGTCGTACTAGGTTCGGGTTGAGGGTTTAGGTTTGGGGTTGCCTCTGGCAGCCTCCCACCACACTGCAGGGATGCAACCAATCCGAATCCCGCGCATCGTCGGAAAAAAGTGCTTGCTCGAAAACCCTAAACCCTGGACCCTGAACCCTACACCCTAAGCCCTAAACCCTAAACAGCGAGGTCTCCGTGGAGGTCGGACAACACCCACACACACAAAGCTAGCTCAGCAAGAGGGCTTATACGTTTAGGGTTTAGGGTTAGGGGTTAGGGATTAGGGTTTAGGGTTTAGGGTTTAGGGCTAGGGGTTGAGGGTTTCTCTCTCTCTCTCTCTCTCTGCCGAGCGTTGAGGGTTTGGGCTATAGGATTTTGAAGATTTAGGGTTTGCTGTGGGGTTAAGTTCGGGCTTAGGTAGGATTGATATAAGGTTCAAGTAGGACCCTCTTTTTAAACGGCCAGGTTTTGCAAAGGCCTTCTTCGGCAGAGAGGCTGCAGAAATAAATGTGTGGAGGGACTTTGAGGGCTTAGGATGTGGGCTCACTGTTTTTTGACGTCAAGCTTCCGGAACTATGCATACGAGCCTAGATCCAAGAGTAACCTATAGGGCAAAAAGGGTACCCTTTTAGGGGGGTCAAAGGGGGCTCATGAGGGAAAGGAACCAGGGGCCTACTCTGGGTCCTAGGAGCTGCGTGAGGTGACGAAGGCCTCAATGGCAAGATCCCAGCTCCCTAAAGGCTGATCAGGAGCTGGGGCATGACCCACAATCGTGATGCCGAGGTTCGTTTGCAGTTGGTTCGGGCTCAGGGTTTAGGGAGGGCTTCGGGGGCCTGGGTTCGGAAAGAGTAGCATGAGTGGTTTCATGTAGCAGCAGCGAACAATGCAGTCAGTTCATTGGGCAAAGGGTCGTTCCGGGGCTTCTGAGCTTAAGCCCACGTTGGGTTTAGCTTCTTGGAGGTTCCTGGGTACGCATCAGTAATTGGTTGTAAGTGCCCTAAAGAAGGTTCTAACTACGGACATATAACACTACTTCTAAGCACCCAAATCAACCTCCAAGTAGTGCGCAGCCCTCACCCCAGACCCTTCCCACCACTACATCCCAACACATCAAGCACTCAGAACTAAAGAAGGGACTTCGCGAACCTCTTTCTTCCCCCCCCTCCAAAACTCCGATGGTGGGGCGCCCACCGCGGCTCCGGACCACGCCTCACAAAGGCTGCGGGATGTGGCAGGGTTTAGGAGTTTAAGGTTTCGGGGTTCGGGATAGAGTTTAGGGATTAGGGATTAGGGTTAAGGTTTAGGGTTTACAGGGGGCCGGGGGGGGGGGGGGGGGGGGCCCGCTCTGGAGCTGTTTCAGGAGCTGGGTGCAGAGGTGCCACCTGCCTACCAGGCCTCGGAACCCCAAGGGTTTAGGGCTTGGGCATCTTTACTTGAAGTTTATTTGGGTACTTGTAAGTAGAGTTGTAAGTACCCTCAATTTCAGGTTACAACCATACTTACCCTTCCCATAGCCCGACTTGTAAGTGAACCTCTTGCAAGTACAGTAGGGCCTGAGACTCAGGTCTTTGGGTCTAATCGTCGTTGCTTGCCTGAGGTACCTAGCTTTCTCCGGCTAGAATAACCATGCCTCTTGGACATCCGCGAAACGGACGGCAGATTTCCTGTCTCCAAAAGAAATCAGAAGTCCTACTGCTGGGTAAACTGATGATTTAGCGAATTTGCCTTGCTAGGTTATGTCGGGTATGAGAATTCCCAACCCAACTTCCCCTGAGGTCTGTCCAGCCCCGAACTCAAGTCTAGAAAGCCACGTAAGCATGCACCAAACCCTAAACCCTAAACCCTACACCCTAAACCCTAAAACCTTAACCC